AGTCACACACATAGTCACAGGCAGACAGTCACACACACACACACACAATCGCAGGCAGACAGTGACACACACAGCCACAGGCAGTTGCACACTCAATTACAGGCAGACAGGTAAGCACACAGTCACAGGCAGTCTCCTCCCCCAGAATAATGTGTGCCAGGGGGGACAAGAAGTTGAGGGGTGTCTGGTATCGAGGAACGGGAGGTTGGGCGGTGGAAGTTGGATGAATCTTCCGATGAAGTAAACAGTGAGTCACGTATAGCATTGCTGCCTTAGGTCACTACCGATCCTCGCTGTGACTGAACGCATGCTGCTATAACATCCGGTCTACTAGCAGGTCACTGAGTGAGCGCTCTGTATACAGATATATATAGCATCTGAGCATGTGACTAGTGATGTGCTTTTATATCAACTTATTATTATTAATTATAAAGTGCCAAAAATTCTGCAGCTCTGTACAACAGGTGGACTAACAGAGATGTACAGTTGTAAGAAAAAGTATGTGAACCCTTTGGAATGATATGGATTTCTGCACTTATTGGGCATAAAATGTGATCTGATCATCATCTAAGTCACAACAATATACAATCACAGTTTGCTTAAACTAATAACACACAGAGAATGAAATGTTGCCATGTTTCTATTGAACACAGTGTTTTGTTTTAAAGACAGTTGCAGGAGAGGAATCAGAGTGTGGGGAGAGAAAGCTGTTTACAGTTTCATTGATACGCCTTCTTGAAGAAGTAAGTTTTCAAAGATTTTTTAAAGGAGTGGAGACTGGGTAAAAGTCTAACAGAGAAGGGAATGGTGTTTCATAGGAATGGTGCAGTTCTAAAGAAGTATTTAAGGCGAGCATCAGAGGTAGGAGTACGAAGGTTAGACGTTGGTCTGCAGCAGAGCGTAGGGGCCTAGACTGCACATATTTGTGTTTTAGTTTGGAAAAGTAGGTTGGAGCAGCAATGTGTTGATATTTGTAAGCAAGTAACAGGATCTTAAATTGAGCCCTATATCCTAGGGTAAGTCAATGTAGGGACTGATAAGATGGGGAGGCGTGGGAGGTGCGGGCAGACAGGAAGATTAGCCTTGCCGCAAAATTCATTATATAAGCAGTTGTTGGATCAGCGCTTAGTGACCAGTAGACAGCTAATATAGATGGGAGATGGGCCGCAACCTAAGGGTATGATGTTCCCTCACAAACCATCAGAAGAGAATACAAATGTAAAAACAGAAAATATAGGTTGCGCCAAAAAATGATATGATATTATAAAATCAATACGTACTTACATAAAATGGATTATCCATTTTATTTAAGTACGTATTGACTTTATTATATCATATCATATCATTTTTTGGCGCAACCTATATTCCCTGTAGCCACATTCATTATAGACTGATAAGAGGCAAGTTGGGAATACGTAAAATCACTGAGAGGCGGATTACAGTAGTCAAGGCGAGAGAAGACAGTGCCATGGACAAGCACCTCAGCCATATAAGGCGTTAAATAGTGGCAGATGTGCGCTATGTTTTTGAGATGGAAGCGGCAGGGTTTGGTGATTGATTGGACATGAGGGGTGAAGGAGAGGTCAGAGTCAAAGAGAATACCTAGACAGTGGGCCTTCAAGGTAGAGCTGTTGGTAGCATCATTGACTTGAAGGGAAACAAGGCAAGGGAGTAGCAACACTTGAGGGAGGGAAAACCAGAAGTTCTGTTTTGGATAGGTTCAGTTTAAAGAAATGAGCAGCCATCCTGTTGGAAATAGCAGAGAGGCAGCCAGAGACACGAGTCAAGAGGGCTGGTGAGAAATCAGGGGAAGACAGATAAATTTGTGTGTATTCCGCATAGAAATGATACTGGAAGCTGAGGAAGCTGATGAGTTTACCAAGGGAGGCAGTATAGATTGAGAACAATATGGATCAAGGACAGACCCATGGGGAAAATCAACAGAGAGTAATTGGAGAGAAGAGGCAGAGCCAGAGAAAGAAACACTAAAAGAGTGCTGGGAGAGGTAGGAAGAGCACCAGGAGAGAACGGTATCTCAAAGACTGAGTTTACATAGGATGAGAAGAAGCTGTTGATGAGCAGCAGAAAGGTCAAGGAGAATTAGGATAGAGTAGTGGCCAAGTGATTTTGCAGTGATAAGATCATTGGCTACTTTGGTCACAGCTGTTTCAACAGAGTGACGAACGCGGAATCCTGATTGAAGTTGGTCAAGCATAGAGTTGGATTCAAGGAAGGGATATACAAAACTGGAGAGAGAGAATCTCCCACCAAATTTGTAGTGGTTGTGGGGTAATACAGGGCCTAACCCAGAGAAAGGAGATAATAGAGAGGACTTGAAAACAGATAATTGGTATATATAGTGCCTAACTTACATATGCATAGAAAATAAAAAACTTTATTGTCCAATATTGGATAAACATCTAAATATCCCAGACACCAAAAAGTGAAATAATAATAATGAAAAAGGAGGAGATAATAGTAAGTATAAAAATAGGACCAAAGAATAAAAACAAAACCGCTTGAATAAACCTATATATAGTGTAAAGTATATAAAATCTAAAGTAGATATTTAGTAGATCACCCCCCAAACTCTTTGATACTGATGCCCTGAATTTTATCAGAGTAGAACTGTGTGCTCAGTTACCTACATTTAGTTGCTATCAGAGACGATCATAATAGGGGAGAAGCAATTTAATCTTTTATGTTATCCACTGTCAGTTTTCCCGATCATGATTCTATTTTATCTGGGGTCTGCTGTGGACTTCCCAGATACTCTCTGACAAGCCAGACACCTATTTGATCCTGCTGTACTTAGAGCAACATAGACAGATTTACATTACTTTGAGCTTGACTAGTTATAAGATATAGCCATTCTGTTGCCACTTGGCCAGTACGACTAGGGTTACCTTATTGCATCTACCTATGTATACACTGTATATCTCCCCTCAGATACTGTTTCCACTTCATCAGTATCACTAACTGGCTATTTTGTAATTAGTACACTTTGTACACATTAGCTCCAGCATGTAATTACTATCATCTCCTTTTTTTCCATTATTATTATTTTTTCACTATTTTTTGTTGGTGTCTGGGATATTTAGATGTGTTTATCCAGTATTGGACAATAAAGTTTTTTATTTTCTATGCATATGTAAATTAGGAAGTATATGCCAATTACCTTTACTCAGTAATTTCCATTAGGGTAATAGGACTGGAACCAGGTGTGCCTCCTTGCAGACCTGTTTTCAAGTCCTCTCTATTATTGGATTTAAGGAATTCTGTCACTATAGACTCTAGTAAGTCTTATAACTGCGTGTCTTAATAAAACATATTGATGATTTTATCTTTCAGAGCACACACTGGTTATTTCAGTCTGGAGAAATTGGGACAAATATTCATCCATTTATCTGACTTTTTGCTTGCATTTTTAACCCCTTAAGGGGTTAATAAGTACATTGTTTATATCCGTTTTATTGATTTTCCAGTACTGAATCTAGACTCTCACTAGGTTTGCTTAGGACTCCTATATTTATTATTTTAGAGTTTAGTTTGTTTACTCTATATTGCATCTTGGGATTGGTGTTGCTTTTATATTTTAACACACATGTGGTAACTTTTACAGGTTTGTTGTACATGTTTCGTAATAAAGTAATGATGCATTATCACACCGATCAGCGCAGTCACTCCTCTCATTTCTATAGATTTTTAAAAAAGTATTCATCATTATATGGCAATCAAACAGCAGGTTGTCCCAGACAGTGCTATCATTGTGAGTGGACTTGCTAGACTACCAAGCAGGAGGTGAACATAAATGTAAGTTGTATAGCTTAAAAGGGTTGCCCCACTTTCTATTACATGTGCTTTCCTCTATACGGCAAAGACCCTTATCTGGGATGGTGGCCTATAAAAGAAATAAATCTTACCCCTGGGATATATGTCAGCTGATTAAAACAAACAAACATTATAGCAGCAATTAAGAGCAAATTGTTATTTGTATTTGAAGAACAAACCTATAGGTAAATATGCCCCAAGTCCAGAAAGATTGTCTTCTTCGTGATCTTTCAGCCTCGTTGGAATCCTCACCCTTCTTCACAGTCTTGGGTGTTTTCCAAACACCCTGACCATTTATGCATATACTCAGATACACACACTAAAACACAGATACCTATATTGACATGCACAGAAGTCATACTGTATAGATTTGATTGTGTGTGTGTGATTTCCGGGATATTGTGTATGATCTGCGAGTGTCAGGGAGCCGCATTCAACATGTGAGAGTCTCCCGGAACTACCGGGCGACTTGGGATGTCTGATATTAGGCATTTATTGGAACTTCTACATCTCATGCTTGGGTCTTGGCAATGTGGTCCCTTTTATTTCTACAGGAAAGAAGATTACTGGTGGGTGAACACAAAGATGGTCATACCTGATGATAGTGACTTTTCCTTTTATTATAGGATTTATTTTTTTGCTTATCTGTCTGTTGGTTCTGACTTGCCAGGTCCAGCTTTCCTACATTGGCGAATTGTTATGTCATACACCTTTGGAGTACTGACCCATTGATTATATTTTCTGTAGCACCCCATTGGTTAAGCAACTTAATAACCAAAGCCTTGACTCTCCACATGTTCATTACAGTGGTCTGACATGTAAAAATAGTTTTTATTGTCGAGGTATTTAGTTCTGTCCTTGAAAATACCCCTCTTACTAGGTTATCTTTATATTGTCTTTCCTTCTACTTACTGGAGGAGTCAGGCAAGGTCACCTAATACTCACAGTAATTATAGAATGGAATTGGTGCATTTTCCTACGACTTTTACTTTGATTTTAGACGTTTGTTCTATGCATATTTGCATATGATGTCAGTCTCCTGCTATTAATAAAAACCAAGCGTGGTCCATCGTGTTAGTGTCCCATTAGAGTTGAATTTGCAGCAGAAACAAGTATAACTTGGTTTAAACTTTCAGACTTACAGTACAGAAAACTAGAGAACCTCTACATGAATGCAAAAGGAGTAACTTTATTTAAACAAGTGAGTTGTGGAAAATATTCTGGAATATATATACGCTTGCGTAAAAATCTAATTCCTGGATGCTTGCTCACTGCTAAAGCAATTATGCAGGAAACTCACTCTGTAAAAAAAAAGTTTTGTTTTTTTCTCATTCAGACAGACAGACATTGCATGGCATTTAACCTGGGTGTAATTAGAGGAATGAGGCTAAAACAGATTTCCTTGGAAATTGAAGAAACACAATAAATACAATACGTATATTATATTCACAACGGCATTTTTTTTTTTTTAAAAACACAAACCAGATTTTACAGTTAATTGATTTAATTAACAGGATCTTTATTTTAATTTGTTTTAACAATTCTAGCAGTGGGCTTAGTGGTTTAGTAACCCTTTGATAGTTTCCCCATGCACACACGTTAAGGACGACTAACTCTCTATACTCACTCTCGATTTGTTTTGAAGTAATTACAGTAGCAGCTGAGAAGGAGGTTAGGCAATCACTTATCTGTTTCTCATCAGCTGCGCAGAGAGCCAGTGGAACTAAAACTGTACACAACGTTCTTATTAGATTCTTTGTATTAATATTAGATAATAACTAGATTATATACAGGCTATTCATAGTAAAATGTATAATTACAACTTTGGTTTATCATACACAACGCATGTTAAAGCAAAATCAGATTGAAAGTTTCCTTATGTGCACAAAATGCATTTTGTTTAAAGATAATCAATGGGTCACAAACACTAGTTTTTGCCTTAATATATATTGCCCAAAGACCATCGTCTCGTCAATTTCACATAGACAGGTTTTATAAAAGTATACGGCAAGTGGCTTTTAATAGCCATAAACAGCATAATCCACAGCTGACAAAACACATCCATTCTCTTCACTGTTTAATCATTAGCAGCCCCTAGTCCTTAATGGATGAGAAGGTAACAATTCCTTTACATCACTGATGGCAAACTCTTTAATATCAGGGGCCTGTGAACTAAATTTCCAATGATACTCAGACTATGAAAAAATGTTCCAAACCTGTGCAGTGGCAAAGTCAGCACTGATCTACAAAGTTCGAATTCAGTTCAAACTGGACCTGTAACTGAGGCACTGTAGAAATTCAAGTGTTGTTCTGTATACAGACAAACAGGAATCATAAATCAGATATTATTGCTAAGAGACGCTGACTAGGGATTGCTTGTTCCTTAAATACATATAGAGTGAAAATCTAGGACTTAAAGTCTAATATTTAATATTTTTACGTTTAAAAAAAAAAATTGTTAGGTATAAAAATATGTGGGAGACAATCTGCTGGTCTAAGGCTATTTCATGAAACATACATGAACGATCATTATATATGTCATGATTTAACAAGTGTGAAGTGGGGAATGCTAGTACACAGCCAAATGTTTGAATTGTGCTTTGTGAAAGGCCAGAATTTGCACCATAAAATCGGAGTCCATTTGGTCAGGTGCAGTTTGCTTTATTTCACAGCAATGTCAATAAAAGGACCCTACTGCAGGTAAGTGGTCTTGGAATGTTGGTAGCAAGCTGCACCACATCTAAAAGGAGGAGGACGGACGCTACATACAGTGAAAATCTATCTAAATTCCAACTGATTAGACAGAATTCTATGTTGATCAAAACTGCGAAAAATGAAGACTTGTAATGACACCTACAGCTTGCAAATATGCTACACGTAATCTTACAATACACAGGTAAGGTGCTATACAGAGAATATGTTTAAACAATCAGCTTCTTCTTGCATAACTCGCAATGCAGGTTTGTGGTTAATTTAACATGAAGATACTTCTATCCAGACTGAGTTGGATTTTAATATATATATATATACATATATAAAAGAACAGACTGCAGTCATATAAAAGTCAAGTGAGAGGGTGAAAAATGTCTGCAGATCTAAGTGATGCTTAATATATTTTATTCCATCTGTAATGCCATAAAAACAGGATGTAGAGGGAAAAATAGACTTCTAAGTTTAAATACACATTTAAAAATCTACAGCCTGCTCCATAAGACGAATTGCTGCTCCGATTCACAGATGTTGGTCCAAAGGCTTTTGAAATGAAGTTTTTGTGAAGAATCCCAGTTGTCCGTGGAAATGTTAGCTGAAATACGGTACCTCTGTCAGTTTATACCACTTGATAGTCTCCTGCTTGAGGTTAAAATCTTTTAGTGGTAATGTTAATCCTCCCAGGAAAAAATTCTCTCGCAACGACTCAGCGCTAAGCACGCTTAACTGGAGCTCCCTCTGTTTCAATGTGTCTTTGTTATAACCGCTGTACACAAGCTGCAGACAGAGATATTCAGAGTTAGAGTCAGATCTCATATTCCCACAGCTTCTAAAACCAGTCAGTGACAGCTAACCTGCACTGCAGATGTTTGCGAAATACATTTCCCATGATGCCTCAGGAGTGCCAATGTTTGCCATGCCATGCCAACAATGTGCCATGACTGCCTGTGACACCACTGAACATGTTTGCTGAATCATAAGAGAGATGCGTGTAGCAGACCGAGCCATGCTGTAAGTGGCAGATTTATCCTTTACACCATAATTAGATTAGACACCACTGATATTGTAGGCTTAAAGATAAACTTTGGGTAATGCATTGTATTTAGTATCTTATTTAAAACTAATGCAAAAAATATAACAACACATACATTTAAAGTTTAAATGAAAGGCATGGTTAGGTGGGCCTCCCAGTAGCTACAAGCAGACCCCTCTCAAACCAGGTAGAGCATTTCACCCCATAGCAGGAGTTTATGGTGTAACTGAATAATTAATTCCACTCATCACATAGCAACAGAGGAGATACAGTGTGAAGATAGCAGCCACACATAGCCTGGGTCACTTGAGGCCCACACATAGACCCACTCGTCTGGGAGAAGAATGAACTGATACGGCTACCCAGAGGTGAGCGGTCCAGCTGCCTGATTGACAGCACTGTGAAACCACTCTTTGAACAGATAGCTAGTGTAGGGCTTTATACAACAATTATCCTCAGGTAATTTCAAAAGTACTATCAAATGATGCATTCTCTAGTTATGGCTTCCCATTTCAATGTTCTCCCCACTGTGCACATCTTTTCTCTATAAACACTGAATTTAATAAGGAACACATAAAAATATAATACGATAAACCTTTTCCGATACAGTATACTTATTGGTTGTATTTTGAACAGGTATCGGAATAATGCATAATGGCTGCTATTAAAAAAAAAAAAAAAATATTTGTGCAAAGCTTACAGACATCTATACACAAAACTGTGGTTTTGGTCTCAGGCAAATGCATTAGCTTTTTAAGCTAATTTGTTTTCTTGATTCTTAAAAGCTCAGTAGGGAATGGGTTAAATGAACGTGACAGAAATTAATGCTGAAAATTCACCATCTCGTTAAATGTTGGGTTGCACGTTTTTCTTGCTATTTTAGTTTTGCGTTTGGATGTTTTGTGAGGGTCCGGGAGAAGGTATGTTTTGACATAAGGATTTGGGTCATTGTTGTCTTCTGTGACCTGTAAGGACAAAATAAACAGTATATAATCAAGGCTTTAAATTGTATATTCTTAGACCATATTGTGCTCGGTTCCTACCAGTATCACAGGTAAAGTTACACTATCAGTTAAGGAAGACATACTGTAAGAGACAAGAAATTAAAGGAATTTAAAACAGGTCCCTCACAGGCATCACGGAGAATAAAATTCCCTAGGTTTTATTTGCCCCTGGTAGAAAATACAAACACCAGAATGCAAAATTAAAAATGCCAAGCACAGCAATAGGTGAAAATGCACCACATATTTACCGAAGCCCTAACAGTAGGTGAACCAGATGTCAACCTCACAAAGACTTTTGGCTTGAGAGAATGTGTGTGTATGTATATATATATATATATATATATATATATATATATATATATTCCTTCATTCCCGAATAGGGGTACCTTTTTACCTTGTGAAAGAGTGTAGTGAATAACTGTGCATGCATCATCCTCTGTCTCTCCCAGTGTGTGCTTCTTTGTGGTGTTGTCTATGTTTCCCCACTTTCTGCTTAACATTCTACGAGGAGAAAGTGGTTCAGCGAGTGTTAAACACACTGACTGTCTAGCAGGAGGAATCCTAGAAGTGATTGCTTTAACTTTGCTGGAACTACAGGGCACACGCTCCATCCCCCCTGCTTTAGCAGCCCTGTCACTTACCCACAGGACATGTCCTTGTACAGTGTGTAAGAGTATCACAGAGCTCCATAGTAATAAAACTCAGTCATGAGCAGTCTGCAGGAATGTATCACAGAGACCCAAATATACACTCACCCTTACTGTTAAAAATAGATTTACACTCACAAATATGCATTCCAGACACATTTATAGGATACACACAAAGAGACTGGGAAACACTCCAAGACACCACATCAATACACACCAGGCACCTCAAATACACACACACAGTGACACTGCTAAACATACTACAAGACACACACACACACACACACACACACACACACACACTGACACTGCTAAACATACTAATAGACACACACACATCTTGTTTTTCCTACCATTTAGCAGCAGGAGATTGGCATCCCTGAATCTTATTACAAATTAGGCTTGCGTGGAGTGGTGGCTGCTGCAAAGGATCACAGCACATTTTTAAAAGGACATTGCAGGCACCATAACCACTTAAACACCTTGAAATGATTATGATGCTTGAAGTAATGTCTTCATAAAGTTTAACAGTGATCCAAAGTCCCAGCATGCCCAGAATCCAGCCCCCAGTGACTGTATGGCGAAGGCATAGTTGTTACACCCAGACTTATGCCATACCAGGAATTGTGAGCAATAACAGGCTGAGGTTGTCAGCTGACCTCCCTCAGCCAATCACTGCACCCTGGTACGGTGTAAGGTGGAGTGTGACTGTCATTGCCGTATTGTTAAAATGTACAAGAACAGTTTAAGAGTGATTATGGGTGTATGGCACCCTGGGACCAGTCACTATAACCATTTCTAAGTGTTGAAGTAGTTATGGTGCCAGGAGTGTCCCTTTAATGCCTCATCAGGATGTGGCCACAAAGAAAGCAATGTGTTTAAACCTGCATGTTTACATAAACCCATAACTATATATTAACTAATCAGCAGCTCCATATTTTCTGACCCTGGGGAGAAAGTCTGCTAATACTGGACTGCGGCTGCTGACTTCTACTCCTGCACGGTTTCGCAAAAGCTGGGAGCATTGGTGTAGGAACCAAAGAAAATGGTAACAAACCAAGCTAAAGTGGGGAAAGACTTTCATAATAATCAAAGCCCCACTTAGGAAACAAACATTAAACCATGCAGTCTTCTAGAGAAAAATTATATATTAACACTAGGAAATCTGTTAATAGACTGGGATATCCCCCCTTTTAACATATGTTTTTCTTATCTTTCTTAAACAGTGAAATACATGATCTTAAAGCTACACCATATGTTCAGGGGGGATTTGTCCCCCCAGTTCCAACACCCATAGCTTGTGTGAAAGTGAATATTATCATTAGTTTCTCCTTGCGTTACTGTGCAGGATCAAAGAGAGGAGATAGCCGCTTCCCTGCAATCACTGTCGTCCAGATGACCGATGCGGGTACCTTCACTAAAGCAATATTAGGCCGGCTCAGGCTGCCATGGTTAAGCTAAATTAAGAAAAAAGTACCTGCCCAGTGCCCAGAACTGCATGTCCTGGACATCTGACAATATCCCTGGATACAATGAATCAACTTAAGTAAACACTATGTTTTAGTCTTTGAAGGTACCTGAATATTATTTAACCATTTGTTTTAATTGGACTATGGACCACAAAGTTTGTACCAGTTTCAAACATATCTCGGCTTGTTGGCTTAGCCTATGCATCTAGAGCTGTAATATTTCTATTTAATCCAATGTCTTATTGCTGGATATTGTTCTATAATTCCTGGTCTGCAGACATTTTTTATCTTAAAATATACACACATTTAAAGGTCAGAATTTTCTTTTTTTTAAATGGGTGGAGGAGTTTACTATGATGGATAGAACATGGGGTGTGAAAGGAGATGCAGAACAATGCACTGACCATGTTTAAATATTATATACACAACTCACCAGATCTTTTATGTGCATCACCATGACAAACAGAGTGCCATTTCTATATGAAATTGAGAGTTTCACTTCTCCTTCAATCTTCCCAGATGACGGACTTAATGGTGGGTCTTCTGAAAATGGAAGACACATTCCAGTGTTAGTCTCAATTCATAAAACAGATCAGCGAGGTGTTTACTGTTCATATGTTATTAATTGGAGCTTATTCATATCCTAATGTTGTCTTTCAATACCCAGAAGTCTCTGTGCCCCTTGTTTGTGGAAGGGCTTGTAGGCCAGTTTCCTACCGATAGACTATGGGCCTCTAAAAGATTGAAAAAGGGCTGATGCCACTGTGGTGACCTTGTATGGGTGGGGGGTCTCGGGTGCCTATACATTCCCCAATTTTAGATGGGTAAACTCTGGGGATTACCTTGACCTATTCTCATGCAGAGTGCCTGACCAGGGGATGTATCACTAAAACTATTTACCGTATCCAAACTGTGCGGCAATCTGGTGAATCTTTGATCGGGTGTCACTTGTTCCTCCGACCACCAACCATCCTGGATAGGATGTCAGGGAGGTGACAAGGTATCTGGAAATAGCCAGGAATTGTGGGTGCTGCCTTGCAAAGGACTCAGGGAACCCCTCAAAACATGTTCACGAACAACCACGAGACCGCAAGAACTCTGCGTCAGATTGGAGGATAGCGGTGACCCAATGGAACTTAAAAGTATTGTAGCTTTGGCTTTAGGTTCCTCATGCAGAAACCTAAAAAGTATTGTAGCTTTGGCTTTAGGTTCCTCATGCAGAAACCTAAAAAGTATTGTAGCTTTGGCTTTAGGTTCCTCTGATCTGGGCGCTTTTTGAAATTGGGAGTTGTGGGGGTAAAGCCAAACACCATCCTAGCCAATCAGCATCTCCTCATAGAGATTGCGTCAATGCATCTCTATGAGCAAAGTTCAGTGTCTCCATGCAAAGGGTGGAGGCAATGAATGTCAGCACAGGAACCACCTCTAGTAGCCATCTGAGGAATGGTCAGTGGAGGTATCCCTAGGCTGTAATGTAAACAATGCCTTTTCTCTGAATTAAAGTCTGCAGGGACTGACTATACGCACCAGAACATCTGCATAAAGCTATAGTGTCCCTTTAAAAAAATGTGGAGAAGATTGCAGACTGTCCCATCAAAGCTCTGTATTTTTATTATTTTAAACTATTTATTTCAAGTTGTCACTGTTGCTTCAGTGCAATGAATTACATCCCCCCTCTCATAATATTGTAAAGTGCTACGGAATCTGTTGGCGCTATATAAATGGCAATAATAATAATACTACAAGAAAAGCCTGTGTTACTAATGTAACACACATTGATGACAGACATATTTATCGCACATAATTAACATTAGGCATTCCAGTCAGGCTGCCTAAGTCAAGTGTGCTGGGGTTGTAACTACCCCTCGGCAGAAATGTGCACATTCCTCTGCATACGCAGCAGTGATCATGTATGTTGGAGTAACCCTTTAAAGAAGTCTCACCAATTGCCTTCACCATCCGATCACATCCTTCTGCCTTCTCATCCCGCAGCAATGGATGGAAAAAGGTGTAAACCAGATCACACTGAGAAAGGAACGAAAGAGGAAAAAATATTAACACTAAACTGCAATTAGTGAACAAAGAATCCTTCCACAGCCTTACACCATCACTGCACATAAATCAGCCCCCAAAACACCTTCTGTGGGCTGCAAAGGGCTAGCATTTAACCCTTTGTATAAGGGATTGATTTACCTTACAGAAAGGCAGGCTTAGGACATGTGATGCAATATTCTCCACTTTAACATATTGAAATAAAAAAAATAAAAAAAACACACACCAGGGTAAATATGCCACCCATATTCAAAACACAACAGAGACTGAGCATTAAAAAAGTAATACATATAACAAGACATAAGCAAACTATAGCCCCACCAGTGAATGTCTATCTTATAACAGCTTTGCTGCAGTTGCAAAGCCCTTAACGTCTACCAGTAAATGTCTGGGATTTGTCAGCCAATCCCTGGCCTCCAATACTTTGCATAGGTGCACTCTCCACTTCCTAAATTCTCTCCACAGCTGCAAGAATTAGTATCAAGCAGACTCGAAATGTGTGCAGGAGCAATAAAACTTTTCGACTGTCTCATGTAAAAGGGGTTGTCACCATCCCCCCCCACCGAAAAAAGGAGTATTTCATAAAGATAAAAACTGAAAATAAAGGTAGGGACTTTTTTTTTCATACAAAAAAAAACAAAAAAACAATAACCAAACACAATCTGTTTTAACGAATAAACAAATTATTGTATTGTTCTTGTACATTTTGAATATATATCTTTCAAAACTTCACAGGTTGAAAAAAGTATCTGAAACCCTAGTTTAATGACTTCAACAAAAGCTAATTAGTGTAGGAAATTTGCTAACCTGGGGTCCACTTAATGAAGAGATATGGGAGGTGTGAGTTAGATCTTTTACTCAAGCATTATGTTTGCTATTCATAAAAACTACTTTGTGCTATCTGTTGAAGCAGTTCTGTAAGCAAGAATGGTCCAATATTCTTCCTGAATATTGTGTAGGTCTAATCTGGAACTACCGTAAATGCTTGGTTGAGGTTATCGCTGCCAAAGGTGAATCAACCTGCTATTAAATCCATGTGTTCACTTATTTTTTGAACAGCACTATGAATGTTTAATCGGATTTGTTCATTAAAGGGACACTATTGTCACCAGAACCACTACAGCTTAAAGTAGTTGTTCTGGTGAGTACAGTCAGTCCCTGCAGGCCTTTTGCTGTAAAAACTGCCCTTCCAGAGAAAATGCAGTGTTTACATTACAGCCTAGCAACACCTCTTGTGGCAGTCACAGCACTGGCATTCAGCATCTCCATGCGGAATGCTCCCCATAGAGATGCACTGATTCAATGAATCTCTATGAAGATGCATGCACAATAGCCTCCCAATACTTGCCTATGGAAAAGCATTAGAACACCTTCACCAACAATGCAGAGTGGGTATGGGGCCAGCCATGAGGAGACCCACGCAGTGCTGGAAAAAAAGAAGTAATCTCACCTTTTAAAAGGCAAGAGATGGGTGCCAGAGGCTTAAACAGTGATCTTATGCATTTCTGGCAATATAGTCTTCCTTTAACGATATGAAAGATTTTAATTGTTTGTGTGTTGTTGCTGAAGCACATTGTTTGTGTTTATACTTGTGACTTTTGTGATGAGATGACATTTTATGAGCTATTCATGAAGAAAACTAACTAACTTCAAAGTGTTTACATACTTTTTTACCACTGTAAGTAAAACCCACCTTTCTCTGCACCTGTGGCTGCCGCAAGGCAAATGGCTTAGTCCCTATCAGGGAATTTTGAAAAATATGCAAACACCCCAGAAGGTGACAGAACCGCTTTAATGAATAAAGTTGTACTTTCCTGATGTTGCACAAATAGGTGATAAATTGTCAGGAAAAAATAGGACTTGGTTTTAAGACAAATGGGAAGTATTGTCACCATAAGCCATCTAAAAGACATCTGTAGTTATAGTGCTTGGAATGTCCCTTTACGTAAGTCCTCAGTAAATTAAAACCTTGTAGATTTTTATATTTAAAAAAACAAAACAAAACAATAACGATTACAGTACAACCAACTCTCACTGCAAGAAAACAGGAACTCACTGTACAAACAATACCTATAACTGTACAGACAATAATACCTATTAAAATACTGACCTGTCACTTTGGGATCTCTCTCTGTGCATATTTTGCAAACACTCCTAAAACTGATGTGGGTCCTGTGGCTGCTGGGTGCAAGGCAGGTAAGTCTTACTTACCTCAGACTGTTCCTTGCGCCTGCCCCATCTTCGTTCTGCCTGAATCCCAAAGGCATCATTTGTGACAGCTGCTGGGATTGGACAAACGTTGCTGGCGGAGTTGAGTCCCTGCTTTATCTTATTGTATCCTTGGATTGCATAGGAATTTCAATGAAATCCCAACACATTCTTGATCAGTATTTCAGTTTTTATAAAATACTGAAAAGTGTGTGTATTTACATAGCACCATAATATATTGCCCATTTTCTAATTAATTTAGATATTATTGCACATGTACTGTACAGAGTAACAATTAGTCAGGGTATAATTCATGTTTAAACTATACAAAAAATTACAGCAAAAATAAAGTAATAATTATTGAACACAAACAAGAAACGATCATTGCACAAATCATAACTAAATGCACAAATAATAACATTACATTAATTAATTCTGTTTTAACCCATATTGCAACAATAACTGTTACAGTATGAATAAAGTAAATATATTAATTCTTATCATAGAAATAAAGGAACATCCTCATGCCACGTTACCTCGGACACTTCAGCTGAGCTATTCAGAAGACTCTGCATGTAACTGTTTAATTCCAGTTTCCTTCGAGCTGCCACTTCCTTTATGTGGGTTCTGCCGAGAACCACTTTACTGGGAAAACTATATAAAACAAATTAAAAAGATGACAAAACTGGCCATGTTTTAAAATACAGAATATATGTCTACCACAGGGGTGCCCAGAAGGTAGATCCCCAGATGTTTTAAAACTACAGCTTCCATGATACTTTGTCATTGTACATGCATTCAAAAGGCATGCAAAGCATCAAGGGATTTGTAGTTCTACAAGATCTGGGGATCTACGTTTTGGGCATCCCTGGTCTACCGGATACAAAAGCCAAAAGTCAAGACTTTAACGTGCCCATAAAAATAAAGAACAAACCCCAGAATCTCCTCTGAGAAAGTGAATCGATGAACTCAGCAGTGAAAATAATCTTTACAGTAAAGATATGGGATTATAGGGCTGAGTGACATTGACAATTATAGCACAGCTCATTGTCAGTTATTTGGCTTTTACAGATTTTTACTGTTTTTCAATAACACACATACCCCGGGAGCTTCCATAGGGGAAAGAGGAGGCTGAGCTTGTTGTGAAGCTCCTGAAACTCATCAAAGGTCCTGAAGATGAAAGTTGATTCGTCCTGGCCATCTCTCATCACTCGCACTACATAAATCTGTCACAAAAACACATTTTAACTACTTTTCAACAAACTGTCAACTACATGCAATTCAATTTAATAATTAATAAAAATCACTGGCGAACTCCGAATGCGTGAATTCCTGATTTACAACACATTTCTCTGCAACAATGTCTGGAGACAGAAGGAGAAAGTCACTTTCATGGGTAGTGCTGTACATGGGCGGTTAAACCCTGACTATCCATTTGATATGAATTATGACTTTCAGTTATATGCTTCAGAATATTCAGCAGATCCTGACATTGTTTAAGGAATATGGTGGGGGGAAAAAAGAATGAAACTACCAGCCGCTGGTTTCACTTTTTTAATGAATGAAATGGCTTGTTCTCTTAACTGTAACAATTTTTACAGAGAGCTAGAACACAAAATATAAAATAAATATATGAATAAATAAGCTGTATGCCTGGACGGATTTTTGCACTTTATACGCCTTTCAAATTAAAATATTTTATGTTGCTGAAATTTCTGTTCATTTGCTTTTTGGCCTCTCTGATTATGTTTTCTAGCAGAGGGTCTCCAATTAGATATTAATGGCTGCATATGTCACTCACAAGGGATGTTTGCCCCCCGATAGTATAAAGATAACAGAATTATTACATTTTTCTTTTTCTTTGACTATATATATAAAAAACACCAAATATACCTTGCACTCAGGCTTCAATCATAACTGGGTGCATCACCAAGGCTCCAGTATCCAAATAGTAGTGATGGTTGGCTGCACTCACGGATTCTTTAAAACGTAACTTTTATTTATAATATTAAGAGCAGATCAACGTTTCAGTCCCTCTTGTGGACTTTCATCAGGAATATATATATATATATATATATATATATATATATATATATATATATTCCTTTGCGGTAGTAATATCACTGCAAATTTGTGATTTCTGTGGGAAAAGCAAGTCTTATGGCTTTACTGGTGTGCAGAGTTTTGTTTAACACACACACACATCTATCTCTCTCTATATAATGAATAAAGACACAAAAACACTTTTATAAAATGATGAAGAATATCAATATATATCCAACTCAATGAACACTTTGGGCACCAAAAAACCCCCATATTAAGTCTTCAGGGTTAAAAACCATTAACGAATGGTTTAACTTCAAAGAAATCAGTCAGGATTCGAGACTTAAGATTTTGGGGTTAAACCGTTAAATTCTGAAGGAGAGTAGTCACCAGGTATCATTTAAGTTGTTATGGGGCCCATCGTGTCCCTTAATGCACTGAAACTCAACACGTAGAAAAAGCGGAAAGTTCAGTACAGTTTATATTATATAAAAAAATTAAAAAAAACTCACATAGAATTTATCTGGGTTATATCTCTTGTGGTAAGTGAAGACCGAGGCCCCTCGGATGCGACCATCCTGTTTCAGAGAGTATGTTTTTGGGGAAAATGAAAGGATAGGTTCATCATTTGAAGGGAGCCCAGAAAAGCGCTGGGCCAGATTGTGAATAAAGAAATTAAACTTGGTAGCCACACTACCCAGACTCGATTCGATAAGTCTAAAAAAACAAAATCAGAAAGTAATTTTAACAGAATTACAAACAGTGACAACATACTTGCAAACTTTATGAAAACATTAGAAAATGTCTATTATAAGATAAGATTAGTTGTGGCTTAACTCTTTATCTCAGACATCCGCTTTAAATTATGCTTTAACTTTACTCCTAGTAGCAGCAATAAAGCGTTTGAACAATGTTTATAAAATGCAGCCATAAGACAGACCACACCTGGTCCAAATGCAGTTCCATCATCCTCATTGTTAGCTTGCACTTAGCAAGTAATAATAGATTTGTAGATTAATGCTTTCATATGTTAGCTTTGTTATTACATTGGCATATTTAAATAAACTGCATTTTCTTTTGTCTTTCTATCTTTTACATTTATTGATTATTCAATTTCAGGACTGTGTACTTTTCATATATATGTTTAATATTTTACTTCACAAGTAAATTTTATACACTGCATATTGTTAATATTAATACACTATTAATGTCAAATCAACCATTTATAATAAATATGGAGTATATATACACTCTTTAAAAGGATTTATTTATATATTGCTTTGCTCCACAAGGTGATTTGTGCATAGCACAGTGTTTATATGTTTATACAGGTTATAAACCCAAAATATAATGACTCCAACAAGCACCCCCTCCTATATTAGACAGAAAAAACCCTAAATTCATCTGGGCCCATTCTGGAGTTGTTATTGCAACAACAGGAAAAAACACTCAACGTATCGATCTCTACTAAGATAGTTTTCAAGCTAAAACAAATCTCCAATAAAACGGCGTATATTGTGCCTTAACTTGCTGCCATTTTTTCACCAATTTATCTCAAAGTTTGTGATGGAAAAAAAGGCATGGTCTATGTACGTTACATTTTTGCTGGGTATTTTGTACATTTGATATGTGCTACTGTGATAACATCCCCCAAATTATGCTCACTTACATCTTCTGAGTAAAACAATATACACAATGCATGACCGTCCTACGCACTATTTTGCAAAGTTACAGTGCTGTAAGAGATGTGACAATTACAGGTTTTTACATAGATGGTGTTGATGGGTTCATGTTCAATTGTGGCATATTAGCAGGTTGCTAATTCAAACGATCCCACAGAAGTCTACAATTTATTAAAGAAGACACCCCAAGGTATTTCAAAAGGCATATTTTGAACCTTTGGTAACAAGCGTTTTTTTTCAAGTTTTTTTATTTTTTTTACAGTTAACCCCTAGGTTTCCTAACAGTAAATTCCCCAATTTCCCACGAAGTGCCACCCACCCCAAACAACCAATTTAAAAACATTACAATAACAAATTGAATAAATTTAACCCCGAGGGGTAAAAAATAAAAATAAATCAGAACACAGTAAAATACTGTGATCTATATTCTGATAATTGCAGGCAATGATCAAAGGACAGGGAAGGGTTTTAAATAGAATAGGGTAAAGGGGGATTGGATTTCTTTACTAACACCTTTTATTTTGCAGGGAGAAACAGATCAGCACTGATCAGTTCCTCTCCACTTCACTACGTACGACCTGGAGGGAGGCGAATCAAATGTTTCAGCAGCACAGTGATTGCTGTGACTAGCTATTACAGCGATCACATGTGCTGGGAGAGCATGACTGGCTGCTGCTGGTCTACCTCTAACAGCGAGGCAGTCAGCTGCAGAATTTACCCCATGACCGCTGCAGTTGCAGCAATCTGGCTTTAATTTTAGTACATGACGGAAATTTTAATGGAAGGACTGCCATGAAACTATCGCGAAGAGGTTAAAATCATAATTTCACAATATTTACAATTTTATTTTTATTTTTTGAAACCATTAGCTTTGCCATTGTACCTTGTGAAGAAAGTGGTGGCTTCAGCATCTGTAGCTTGAGTCTGGAGAGCGTCCACAACATATTTCAAATCCTGAATTCCTGTGAGTTCGGGTAAACCAGAGGAGAGCATCTAGAAAACGCACCAAATATTATGAAATTTTATCTATTTTTCGCCAATATATAATTTTCTGCTGTTCTATTAATCACAGAGTACTATGGAGTATCCTGTAAGCGTATCCTGTAAGCGTGAATCACTAGTTCTAAAAAGATAAAGTCTGATGCTCACAGCCAATACTAACTTGAGAATTGCTAAAACTAGACAGAGAAAGATACGCCATTTGTCAAGTTAATCGTAGGTAAAAATATTCTCGATTTTGGCTCGTGATATCTAAAAATCATACCAGGCCTAGATTTAATATTTTTGGATAAGCTTTTCAAATGAATTTTTTTTTTTTTTTAAATAATACTGTTCAAAAGATATTTTTTCAAAGTATTAAAATATCAAAATATATCAGATATAAAATTAATACTATCAAAATACTTTTTTTCCCTCCAAAATATTAAATAATTTGAAAAGCTTAGCCAAAAATATGAAATCATTTGAAAAGTTTGTTCAAAAATATTAAGAAATAGTTGGTGTTGTTGCCAAGACTCATTTAACAAACAATAGTCCTGGAAATGAAAAATGCCTTTACAGATGTTCTGTCACCATCTGGGGTCTTTGAATTATTTGCAAAGACCCCCGACTGTGACATTGTCATTTGGTGTCCAGAGGGAGTTTCACTAATCTGAACCTGTCCCTTTGTATATGCTGTCATCCTCTTCAATTTGCTTATCTTTAGCTGCCAGGAGCCATGTCAGAACTGCACTCATATGCATAAGAGATTACAATATTGAGTTCTATGGAGCATCCTGCCAGACCCTCCATAGAGGGTGACGGGTGGGGGGAATTACAAGCTTGAGAAAAGGTAGCACAGCCTTTTGCCAAACCTTGTCAAGCAAAGAAAAATTACTGAGACAAAGTAGCCCCTGCTTTGTCTTATGATATATATTTTAACTTGGTTGGAATTTCAGTGAACTCCAGCCAAGTCAATGTGAGTATTTCATTTTTCAAGTTTTTGATATGGGGTGACAGAGCCACTTGTTTCAAGTTTAGACTCAGTCCGTTACACTGTTTACCCTTCTCCTCTCTTGAAGTGGCAGAAGCACTGCTTTCTTTCAACCACTATAAGCCAGACACTTGATGGAGTAGAAAAGTAATCTATTTTGGGAGAATAGAGTCTTGTATACACATGGAAGGAGTGCTTTACTTCAGCACTTTAAATCACTCACCTAATCATGGTCACTGACAATCAGGTTTATAAACTGATTTCATTACATTAACAACATGCTATTCAAAACAATAGAAAAGAAGAGCAAACCGACAATATCCAAGCACACAAACAATAGTTAACAATCATTGCATCACAAAGGATTAACATGTACCAGAAAAACAGTCTGTGGGGTCAGATGCGGCTATGTTAACCTACAATGCCAGGGGATTATCTGTATGAGACTATCATCCGTGGCAAGGAGACTAGTCCCCCAAACTATTCATAGGCCATACTGTAATGGGCAATGTTGAGTGTGAATTGTATCAAATTAGTAATTTTGCTGCCCCTATTACCACTAGTGCTTTATGTGGTTACAAAAAAAAACCAAACCGGCAAACTTTCAGAGGCTTTCCTTACACCAAACCTTGCAACAGCAAAAACTTCATTTTCATCTCACCCAGCAAACTTTGAGGTACTGACTGAAGCCTGGAAGATGATCACCTTGTTTATTCTACTCATTGTGATCCATTTATTATTTTTACTATTACCTCTAATTTTTTGTCCTTGCATTTTTTCCACTGTTATTTTCAGTAAATGCATTCCACATATATTTAATCTATAACTGGCGCAGGGATGTTATTTTTCTCACAAGCATATTTTAATACTCACTATGCTTAATGAGTTTGTAACTTTTGCAGACTTTAATATATGCAAAATTGGGTGTGTTTTATAACAGAATAAAAAGTTATCCTACAATAAAAACACTGCCGTTTAATATATTAGCAAAGTCTGATGGCAACATTTGTCTGTGAAAACTTTGAACCTGTTAGAATACAGCCTTTCTCCCGTGGGTGAATGGTAATATATTTGGGTTAACACAGCAAAAAGGAGCCAGAGATACGATCACCCATGAGAAAACCATTCTGTCAGAGCCATTCCTGCACAAAGATGCCAAAATAAAGAGTGGTATACATGAATGACTTTTTGAGAGTGAACACAGTTTTTGCTGATGAATCACATCAACCAATGTCAGTCTAGTCTACAGCCTGTAGTAGTTATGGTGTTTGGAGTGTCCCTTTAATTACTGCTGTTAGTCTGGTAATAAATAGAAACCAAATAGTACCGATAAAGGTATTTAGAAAAACAAGATCACACTACTAACCAATGAAAGCAGGTTAAGGATTAGGTGTGAATGTTTCCTCAACAAGTTGTACGCCTGACAGCAGAGATCCACAAATAACTGGAATCGGCTGGTTGGCTTTTCCCCTCCGTTTATTACATAGGCCATGTCTGAGGTCAATACAAAGGGGGCCCTGTCCCTGGAAAGAAAAGAAAAAACAATTTTTTTTAAAGGAACAGTCCAAACACCATAACCACTATTGTCCACTCTGGTAGTTATGGTGCTACAAGTGCCATGGCGCACTTTCAATGTAAGTAGTCAAACCATTCACAAATAATTTGTGAATGGTTTGACTACTGTCCTGGCATTCACCAGGCACAACTCACAACTTCTTTCATAGATGGAAATTCCTGCTAAAAGTTCCTGTTAGCGCCATGAGCTAAGCCCTGCAATGAATGTCTGACTCATTGGCTAATATTGTCAGCTGAGTGCTCTTAGCCAATGAGCTAAGCCTGGTAGTGAAAGTCTTGCTCAATGGCTGAGACAACTATTCACACACTATTAACACACTGAACCATACCATACACACACGGACATTGGCACACACACAATCTGACAACATACCTTGTGTGTCCAGGAGAGTGGCTTGCTTAGAGTCCTGGTGATACTAGCTGAAGCTGGGTGAGCATGCAGCAGCAACCTCCAGCCTGCCCTCTGCTTGTGGTACAACCACTTCCAACCTCCTCCCTCCATCTCAACGCTTTGTGTGAAGCTGGGAGGAAGTGATCTGCTGTCACTTTCTTCCTGCTGGCCCATACTACAGCGGTATGGTGGCGCTATTAAAAGGCCGTGGCACCAGACAGTGCCCCTGTTCAGTGCTAATACCAATCGGGTTGCCCGCACATCATATACAATATGTGTGAGATTTTCGGGATATTGTATATGATTTGCAGATGTCAGGGAGCCGCATTAAAAAAGCAGGAGACTCCTAGAACCTCCGGGAGAGTTATGATGTCAATGCCTTTTAATTCCCTGAATTTCTAACAAAAAAAAAAAAAAAAGTCAGATATTGAGACATAAACCTAAAAATATACTGTGCATAATCCCAAATGAACAGCATTCCCCTTAGATTGTTTGACATCGAAAGGGTTACAGTCAGATTTTGCTCAATATAAATGATATTATTGACAACTCCTTGGCTTTCATGCTGGCATTGACTTTCATTTAAAACAAGAAAAGTTTTTTAGGTTTTCTAAAACTTACCTTTTAAAGCTACCAAACATCTGTGCATGTCCCAGAAACTTCCCAAAATCGATGTGAAACATATGTCCAGTGTTTCTCAGCATAATGTTATCGTTGTGACGATCGCAGATCCCGAGCACGTATGTAGCAACGCAACAGCCAGCGCAGGAATATATGAAGTTTTCCGAGGCCTGGAATAAAACAATTGCTTTGAATTCATCTCAGGAGGAGATCCCTGTACTTCCTACATTAAGGCAAGACTTAATTTGTGAAAATCTATTTGAAACTATTGGGGCGCCAACATACTTGCTTCACCTCAGCATTCAATGGGTTAATGCAGCCATTTTTAAATCGTTTCTGTGGGTGATGAAGCAGCTCACCTTCTCATACTCTTCCTCAGATGGGTTGTATTTTCTCAGCCACTCTGCGAGAGGTTTGTCCTTGAAAGATCCTGTCACTCCATATTCCACTTGGATTTTCCTCAGGGTATCTGATGACAGAACTAATTCCACTAGGCCTGGCAGACAGAGCAGAGGATGGTCAGAACGGAGCATTCAATGCCTTTCGTGAAAACTGCTGATCGCGATACAAGTCTATCATATACAGGTTTATTCACTAAAGGGAGAATTTAAAGTGAATTTTAAATTTAAGGTCAAAATAGCCGATCTGGAAAAATTCTCTAAATCAGCTATGCTTTCAGGTCAGCTATTCTGGCCTTTAATATGAATTCATTGAATAAAGTGGATCTGTCACAACCAGCCAATAAAATGGTCTATTGTTTTATATATATTTTTATATAATTTTACTGACATGACCGGGACATTTAATAGAAATTAACTTCCGTTCCCAATGGATTTACAACACAGTGGTGTATTTGGGAACACACTTTGATAAAAAGTTGCTTATTGACGGTTTAGTGACTAATACCATACCGTTATGCAATAAGCAAGGCAAATTAACAGTCTATTTACCAAAGACAAGTACATTTTACATACATTTTAGTTTTTGACAAAACCATGCACACCCGGTGTTTAATGCATACAGAAAGCCAACAATGTCAAAATAAACAGAAATGTAGGATCCATACACTCCTCGGGACCGAAGATGCATAGTACAAAAGGAAATTATGTAACACTGGCACCACATTGTGAGGCTTTAAGGGCAGCAGAAACCATATTAAACTTGATCCGTACATTACATTTACTGCAATTCAGCCGGCTCCAAGATCATGTCAGTATGGACAATAAAATGGGAGACAATGATCTTTTCTAATAAAAGTTAACGTGAGCAACCCTGGCACAGAAATGTGGCATTACATGTGTACTCCTATCTGGTACAGAAATTGCAATATGTAGCAGGTATATCCAGTAAATCCTTTGAGTTTCCATGGGAAAGCAAAATCTGCGGCTAGCAGGATGTGGATGCTATAAGGCTTTATTGTAAAACATGCAAACATGGGATACGGGGTTTAGAAAAGCCTTCCTGCCCCTGTAAAACACACATAGCAGAATATAGTTATAAAGGCCTTACTGCTCCTGTAAAACATGCAAACATGGGATATGGGGGTTAAAAAGGCCTTACTGCTCTTGTAAAACATGTGCAGTGGAATACAGGGGTTATAAAGACCTTACTGCTCCTGTAAAACACACGTAGTAGAATACAGGTGTTATAAAGGCCTTACTGCTCCTGTAAAACACACGAAGTAGAATACAGGGGTTATAAAGACCTTACTACTCCTGTAAAACACAAGTAGTGGAATACAGGGGTTATATTATTATTATTACCATTTATATAGCGCCAACAGATTCCATAGCGCTTTACAATATTATGAGAGAGGGGATGTAACTATAAATAGGACAATTACAAAAAAACTTACAGGAACAATAGGTTGAAGAGGACCCTGCTCAAACGAGCTTACAGACTATAGGAGGTGGGGTATTAGAAACGTTAGGACAGGAAATATCAAATAAAGTGGGAGTGAAGCAGAGCTGGAGGAGAGAGTAAAGAACTGTCCTATAGGGGAGAGCAAGAGACAGGTATGTAAGGTAGAGATTACTCTGGGAGCAGTAAGGTCTTACTGCTCCTGTAAAACACACATAGAAGAATATAGGGGTTATAAAAGCCTTGCTGCACCTGTAAAACACACGTAGTAGAATACAGGGGTTATAAAGACCTTACTGCTCCTGTAAAACACAGGTAGTGGAATACAGGGGTTATAAAGGTCTTACTGCTCCTGTAAAACACAGGTAGTGGAATACAGGGGTTATAAAGGTCTTACTGCTCCTGTAAAACACACATAGAAGAATATAGGGGTTATAAAAGCCTTGCTGCACCTGTAAAACACACGTAGTAGAATACAGGGGTTATAAAGACCTTACTGCTCCTGTAAAACACAGGTAGTGGAATACAGGGGTTATAAAGGTCTTACTGCTCCTGTAAAACACAGGTAGTGGAATACAGGGGTTATAAAGGTCTCTTACTGCTCCTGTAAAACACACGTAGTAGAATACAGGGGTTATAAAGACCTTACTGTTCCTGTAAAACATGCAAACATGGGATATGGGTGTTAAAAAGGCCTTACTGCTCCTGTGAAACATGCGCAGTGAAATAGAGGGGTTATTAAAGCCTTACTGCTCTTGTAAAATCATGGGTTATAAAAGTTTTATTGCTGCTGTAAAACATGCATAGTGGGATACTGGGGTTATACAAGCATTACTATTGCTGTAAAACATGCGTAGCGGTATACTGGGGTTATAAGCATTATCATTGCTTTAAAACATGCGCCGTGGGATACAGGGGTTATAAAAGCTTTACTGTTGCTGTAAAACATGTAGCGGGATACAGAGGTGCACGGTTGCTATAAAAGATGTGTAGCGGGATACAGAGGTTATAAAAACGTTACTGTTGCTGTAAATTATGTGTAGTGGGATACAGGGGTTACAAAAGCTTTGCGGTTTCTGTAAAACATGGACATGGTTATGAAAGCTTTACTGTTCCTGTAAAATTAATTTATATAAGTCAGTAATAACCTGCCCGGCTTAGCCATTTAACCACCCTCCCCCCATAAGCACAAAACCAACTTCAGCTTAATTAAGCAGTTTTGGAATACTAGTGTACCTGCAGTCTCACTGCTCAAACACTTAGGAGGTGATTCACTTTTGTTACTCCATTTGTAGTCCTAGTCACAACACCAAGATGTCAGATCATCAGATGTGACAGCACAGTGTGTTTACTTTAAAAGTTCTTATCTACGTTTTTTATAATTGAACTTTAATCACGCAGAGGAAGCTATGGAAGATATTAACAGAGCAGGAAATAAGAAATTATAATTATAACTCACTGGATTAGTCTTTCTAAGGGAGTTACAGTGCAATACTAATTCAATTGGTGAGGAGAATATTAGAATACATTTTTAAAACAATAGGACAGCTTAGTCCTACCTTATCAACGCCTCTTGTATGCTTAGGAAGGATGCTGACATTCAGCAGCTGACAGGAACAGCACTTTAAGTATTCATCAGCTAATCTGGGCTTTAAATGTTCATAAAACCGGGTATTTGAATTATGGCACCAAGTGCTGCAATTGATTCATGCATGCGCAGATTGCACTCCTCGATCCCCATGGAACGCATCATAACTCTTGTGTGCGTTCCACCATTAGCTCCTAAATGACATAATTGAGCAGTGAGACTGCAGGGGCATGATCTATACACCAAAACCACTTAAACTAAAGTTGTTTTGGTGCTTAGAGTGTTCCTTTAACCCCTTAAGGACACATGACATGTGTGACATGTCATGATTCCCTTTTATTCCAGAAGTTTATTCCAGAAGTTTGGTCCTTAAGGGATTAAATTATTTATTTATAAAATATTTTACCAGGAAAGATACATTGAGATTTCTCTCGTTTTCAAGTATGTCCTGGGTCCACAAATCATTGCATTGTTACAATTAGGGTACAATAAAATACAAAAACAATATTAATACACAATAAATACAAAATTTAACATAGAGCAGGCAGGAAATATATAATCAACCATGACAGGTGCATTCTGTTTTGAGGTATGTAGAGAGGGATCTCTTAAAGGACTTTAGGCTTAGGGATGATTTTAAATTGTGCGGGAGGTCGTTCCACAATTGCGGTGCTCTGTAGGAGGAGGATCGGGCTGCTTTCTTTTTGTATTGAGGTAGACTAAGTAAAGTGTTGGTACTGGATCGGAGGTTATAGAAAGTGGGAACAGCTGAGGAAAGCATTGTGTTCAGGTAGGGTGGGAGTTTCCCAGAAAAGCTCTTAAACACAAGGCTGGAAAGATGAAGAGTGCGTCAGGATTCCAGCGACAGCCAGTTTAGTGCTTTTAGCATGTCACAATGGTGAATCCTGTAATTACATTGTAGCACAAATCGGCAGAACAAGTTATACAATGTGTTGAGTTTTTAATGTGGGATTGCGATGCAGATGCATATACTACATCCCCATAATCAATGATTGGCATCAGCATTTGCAGTACAATCTTTTCCTTTACTGTAGGGCTTAGGCAGGATTTGTTTCTGTACAAAAGATACGTATTGTTTAGGAAAATAAAGCTATGTGTATGTACAGGTTTTAAACTTGCAGTCTGAGATGTGACCGAACCCGTTCAGATTTGGACCTTTATTTTAGGATCCACTGCATCATTGGAAGAAAAACTCAGGTATTTCTTCCACGCCTGCCCCAGCATTTAGAGCAATTTGACAATCAGGTAACACACCTTTGTCTTTGCCAGTCGAAAGACACTTAAAGATGACCATGCGAAGGTCTAGTCCTTCTTGAAGCCAGAGTTTATCCATAATCTTTATCATCTGCAGTGCAAGCATATCCTGGCGCAGATCTTCCCCCACCTGAAAGAGTCGCCAAAATCAGCATCATAATTCCAATCTGAGAAAATAAGATCCCTTTCCATGAACCCTAATCCCAGCTCACTTAAAAGCTTACTCCAAGCACCATGACCACTTTACTGATACATAGATATTAGACCAGGCAGCGTCATTAGCTGGCGTGGAATGAAAGTAATGTTATAGCTATGCATATAAATAGCGGCATGTCCCTCCGCTCTCCATGTCTTAAGTATTCTAATCAGTCTGTCCCCTGGGACGTCCCCTCTCAATGCCACCAAGTATTCTCCTCAGCGATGTCTCCCTCCGTGCCACCCAAGTAACTCAAAATGTATCTAACAGTTATTTTAACTTCTGAAATCCACACTGTGTGGTCATATCTGATAAAAAAAATTAAACCATGTCATGCAGGCTGTGCATAAAATAGGTATTTAACTCCTAAATAGCAGAAAATTTAGCAGTGAGACTGCAGGAACATAATCTAAAAACCAAAACTGCTTAATTCAGCAAAAATTGTTTTGGGGACTATAATGTCACTCTAATTGAAATAAAAAGTAACAACTAATTTAAAAATTAGCACTGCAGAACCACACCTTAAACATGGCGTTAATTTCCTCCCCTAATGGATCGGCATTGACCATGGTGATTTTCAGCGGCACAGCGTTAGAGTTGAAGAAAGAACATACCTGTAGAAATAAAGTAATATCTAATTAAAGTACTCATACGGCCAAGCACACAGCAGCAATCCACCAAGGAGTACTAATATACAGGTTATCTGTTGGGAGACCTGGAATTGATAGGAAATACTATCTTGTACTTGTAACAACTAAGGCATCTACCATCAATAGTCAGATACAAAGATAAATTCTGCAGAGCAAATGACAAGTCAGTCAATGCAGACAGTGAGTGACTTGGCATGTGTGCATGGTAATCATATTCATTTAATCTAAATTCAGAAATGATACAAGTTGCAAACCTATAGCCACCCAGCTATTGTAGCATAAAATACCTTAAAGGAATTAGTCAGGAAAAAGTTATTGAAAGAAAATTCTACGAACCTTAGTGTTCAGTTCTCTGGCAACCAGGCTGGGGTTTAGGGGAAGACGGCAAAAACTCTTCCTGAACAGAAGCTGCACACGCTCCATGCCCTCTTGAAGAGCCACCTGAGATCACAAAACATTAAAATATTCACAATAGATACAGGGACATCTTCTGTTTGTGTGTGATTGTATGTGAATAGGCACATGGTCCAGTACCCACTTATTTCTCTTCAATTACAAGAAAAAGTATGTTATTGTCAGAAAAAGTATTGTAATTAACACTGTTAGAACCCTGTTAGGTTCATCTAAAGGAAGCTCTTACCTGAAATGATAATTGCATTGACGCACCTGAGGAGGACTACTGCTTAGAATCGCTAACCTGCCTTAACAAGCTCCTGACAATGGATTATTCATACAATTACTGATGTGGTTGATATTTGCAACCCGTTTTAAGGCATTTAATTTTTCTTTTTATGTAAAATATGCTGTTTATGCAGTAGAATAATAGGCAACCTTTGGCACTCCAGATGTTGTGGACTACATCTTCCATGCTCTGCCAGAATTATGGCTGTAAGAGTGTTATGGGAGATGTAATCCACAACATCTGGAGTGTCAAAGGTTATCTAACTGTGCACTAGAGGTAAAGAAACCCAATCCCAGTCCCATCCCTCAGCTCCAAACATCCCTACCCCCCAAAAAATAAAAAGAGCACAATCACACCTGTCTCGCAGAACCGCTGGTCAGGCGAACTTTTTCAGCTACGGCTCCAAGGACCTGAGTAAGTCTTGTCTGTTTTTCCAGTTCACTGCGTAGTCCTTTTCCACAAACTGAAAGTAAGGCACCAAGGATCTGCTCATATCTTTTCCCCAAATAAGGGTCATTCAGCGAATCTTTCAGTGACCTGGAAGATAAAAACCAGGTCACATTCAATCACATAACACACAACAAACATTGAAAGCATTGTGTGGATAACAACTTTATACACAATCTATTTCTGGAATAATTTCTGCTCAGAGCAAACACTACTTTTCTCGTCGGACTCCCTGCTCCTCACTGGTCTTGGAGAGTTCCCTGTTGACAGAGGGCTCCCCGTTCCTCCCCGACCCCAGAGGGCTCCCCGTTCCTGGGTAGGGATCGACCGCTTATTGGTCTGGCCGATATTCAGTATTTTCGGCAATATCGGTATCGGTCTATAGAGATACCGCATTGCCGATAATACATACCAGGACCGCCGGGCCCATTTCAAGCCCGGCGGTCCTGGGGGGCCCGCAGCAAGCTCTTACTTACCTCTCCAGCAGCTCCCCAGTGTAAATCTCGCGAGTCCTGTGGCCTACCATGGCAAAGCTCTGCGCGGCAAGCAGGCGACGAGATTTACACAGGGAGCTGAAGGGAGGTAAGTAAGAGCCTGCTGGGCCCCCCCACTGCACAGACCATGCCACCGGACCACCAGGGAATGGCATTCACTATTTACACACACTGCATTCACTATACAAACTACACAAACACTCTGCATTCATTATATACACACACACTGCATTCATTATATACACACACACTACACAAACACACACACACACACACACATTGCATTCATTAAATACACACTACACAAATACAAACTGCATTCACTACACAAACACACACAGCTCCCCTGTCTAAACACACTGCATCCACTACATGTGGCATGTATATTTCGTGCATTTACCTTAAGAAATAGTTTATTTTTTCAATATGGTAAATGTACAAAATATCGGTAAGTTATCGGCTATCGGCCTGAAAGTTCACAGATTATCGGTATCTGTTCTTAAAAAAAAACAAAAAAAAAATATCGGTCGATCCCTACCAGAGGCCTTCCTGCTCCTGTCTGACCCCAGTGGGCTCCCTGCTCCTGTCTGACCCCAGTGGGCTCCCTGCTCCTGTCTGACCCCAGTGGGCTCCCTGCTCCTGTCTGACCCCGAAGAGCTCCTTATTCCTCTGCTTGAGGGTTCCCTAGAGCATTTCCTATTCGGTTTGATTCATGATTGCAGATATGAGAAGGTAGTTTGTTAATAGAATGAAAATTTCTTGCAAAGTGTGTATTCTGATACATGGATATAGATATGACTGGACTGTCCCTCTAATACAAAAAAACCCATCAAATAATATAAAACAGATCTTACCAATACAGATAATGTGCAATGCGAATATTTCCCAAAGCCCGAGATAAAAGGAATCTTACAAGAGCACTATCCAAATAGATTTCATATCGTAGAGCCTATAAAACACACAGCAAAACAAAAACTATTAAAATATCTGTAAATTAATAATATATAGAAAATTGATTGGACTAGGTCTAACCTGCACAAACTGTGGCAGAAAATCAGCCAATTCATCATCACTCAGAGCACTGTCAATCCATTTCACAGCTATCGAGCGCACTTTCTGATTGGAGAATCTAAAGATGTAACGAGAATGAACACATAAACGCCATTTTTACCACACTGCGATTTAGAAATTCTCAGGCTTATATTTTTGGTGATGAAGCATACTGGGAATATAGTAATACCCTTTGGCCCCTCCAAATATTCTATAAGACAAGAGAAACAGGGGATACATTTCCGGTAACAGCTCCACCACAGGAGCAAAGTGACAGACGAACAAGGAGCATAGTAAAACACATGAAAGTGCAAGTCAACAATATGGATTAACAGAATGTGGCAGTCAGTCAATAAAAATGCCAAATATCAACAGAGCGATCACATGGTCACAATAGGTGTCCATGTGTCTGCCTGCAGGGGGACTGTCTGTGCAAACAGGCAGTCTCCCTGCATGTGTAAAATCAATAAAAAAAAAATAAAGTTAATAAAAATTTTTATATATATATATATATATATATATATATATATATATATATATATATATATATATATATATATACACACACACACACACACATATATATATATATATATGATATATAGACATATTATATCCATAAAATATAGGTCTATATATCATATATATGTCAGACTAAGTGTATTTTTATATTAATATGTACATATATACACTTATAATTAAATTACACACGTATATATATATATAAATAAATAATCACTATATATATATATATATATATATATATATAGTAAAATATAAATAATTTAAATTAAAAATAATAAAAATTGAATTTTCTTTATATATATATATATATATATATATATATATAAAATTTTATTCTAACTGTATTTTAAAATGAATATATATATTTATATCAAAATACACTTCAAATGAATTTGTATATATAAATAAAAATACAAAATATACATATGTCCATATACAAAATTACATAAATAATTATATATACACGTAGACTTCAACTATATAAATATGCATATATATTTAAATTCTACGTGCGTATTTATGTAATATTTTTACATAATTAAGTAATTTTATTGATTGCAATTTGAGGGACCTGCCTGCCAACCCAGGCCGAAAGTCCAGAGAATTTAATTTGCTAGCACTGTATTTTACCCTGTAACGTTCTACGACACCCTAAAACCTGTACATGGGGGGTACTGTTTTACTCGGGAGACTTAGCTGAACACAAATATTAGTGATTCAAAACAGTAAAACATATCACAGCGATGATATTGTCAGTGAAAGTGACTTTTTGCATTTTTCACACACAAACAGCACTTTTACTGATGATATAATTGTTGTGATACGTTTTCCAGTTTTTAAACACTAATATTTGTGTTCAGCGATGTCTCCCGAGTAAAACAGTACCCCCCATGTACAGGTTTTATAGCATTTTTGAAAGTTACAAGGTCAAATATATGGGTCAAATATTTTACATTGAAAATGGCCAGGTTGGTTACGTTGCCTTTGAGAGCATATGGTAGCCCAGGAATGAGAATTACCCCCATGATGGCATACCATTTGCAAAGAAGACAACCCAAGGTATTGCAAATGGGGTATGTCCAGTCTTTTTTAGTAACCACTTGGTCACAAACACTGGCCAAAATTAGCGTTCAATTTAGTTTTTTTACTTTTTTCACACACAAACAAATATGAATGCTTACTTTGGCCAGTGTTTTCGACAAAGTGGCTACTAAAAAAGACTGGACATACCCCATATTGAATACCCTGGGTTGTCTACTTTAAAAAAAATATGTACATGTGGGGTGTTATTCAGAGATTTATGACAGATAATAGTGTTACAATGTCACTATTGATAAATTTTAAAAATGTATGTTTTGAAACCGCAATATCCTACTTGTACCTATAACATGCAAAAAAAAAAGCAAAAAAAGCACGTAAACACTGGGTATTTTTAAACTCAGGACAAAATTTTGAATTTAGCAGTTTTTTTCCCATTCGCTTTTGTAGATAAGTAAAAGATTTTTCAAGTAAAAATAAAAAAAACATGTATTTTTTTCAATTTTTCATCATATTTTTTATTTTTTTTAAATTAAAATACATGAGATTATATAAATAATGGTATGTAAAGAAAGCCCCTTTTGTCCTGAAAAAAACAACATATAATTTGTATGGGAACAGTAAATGAGCGAGCGGAAAATTACAGCTAAACATAAACACCACAAGTGTGTAAAAATATGCCTGGTCGCAAATGTACAACATCGCAAAAACAGTCCAGTCCTTAAGGGGTTAAAGTGTGCTGCATACACAAAACAATATGTATATTATAGCCTCAGAAGGGCAAAACATCCAAAGTGCTCTGGATATCAGTTAGACAGCAGGCAGCTGTCCCTGAATTGTTGTTTAAGTGTCTTAGCTTTCAATTTGAAATCATTGATATCACTGCAGTTTCTCCATTCAACTAGATGCACGTCTACTCCCACTACTCTATCTGTAACGTTTTTCCCATTCATAGAACCCCACTGGCTATTACCTATCTCTGACTACCTTTTTACGTACTGTCCTACATGTTCTGTATGATGCCTGCTGTGTAGCTGATATCCAGAGCACTTTGGATGTTTTGCGCTTCTCAGGCTATACTATACATATGGTTTTGTGTATGCAGCACACTTAGGTTTTATATTGGAATTTTTTTTACCCTTTATACTGTTTTTTTTTTATAACAACAAGACTTTCTCCTGCTCTCCTTTTTTTCACTTTAGTCGATCGTAATTTAACTTTAGGGTCTTGTTTAAATACAGTTTATTACAATCTTTTGTTTTGCGATTACATTTGAATGATTCTACTAGGAGGTAATTTCAGTAAGGAGGGTTTCTAACTTTGTTAGGCAGATTCCTTTACCGTATTTGGATCTTTTTTCTAATTCATATTACCTCTTTGACCATATTTAGGACCAAGTATTGGGTTTTTCCTAATATCGTTGTCGTCCTCTTTTTCTATATCTGGAGTTTTATTTTGCTATTAAAAGGAATACTATAAATCACCTAAACAACATCATCTTGAAAGGACACTAAAGGCATTCTGGTGTCTACAGTATGTCCCTGCAGGCTGAGCACTGTAAACACTGTGTACACTAGTAACACCTCTAGATGCAGTCTCTCAGATGACCACTAAAGAGGCTTGCTGGGTCAGTGCTAAACAATGGCAGCGCTGAATGTTCCCCCATAGAGATACACTGATTTGTTCTTTTAAATGTTATTTTAATGAAGCAGTTTTGTTGTATAGATCACTGCTCAATTATTTGACATTTAGGAGTTAAATCACTTTGTTTATGATTTTATTTGTAATTTGACTTGTTTATGCTTTACAGGTTACCCCCCTCCCCCCCCCCAAATCTCCGGTAACCTGTTAGCAAACCCCAAACCCGAAGCTTGTATATGTAACACTGGGCTGGAGATGAATCCCTACATGGGAATGGTATCTTCAATTGAATCTCATAAGTAGTGACCCCATGTCCATACAGGATAATTACGTTAGTCACTATTCTTAGACCTCTTGTTTCTTTCATAAAGATAGCAGACCTCTGGGATTGCATAACCTGTTATTAGTCCTCTATTGTCTGTGTGTGACCTACTTATGTTAAATGTTGAAACAAAGAATAAAAAAAAATAAAAAAATTAAAAAGGAATAATAAAAAATAAATAAAAAAAGAAAACCAGAATGAAATGTATGCAAACATTAGTTCTGAGGGCCCTTTCTTCCCCTAATAAGTTTTTCAGAAGCAGAGGAAGGTTCCATGGACTTAACAGCCTTATCATTAAAATCTTTAAAAATTTGGGATACATTCTCCTGGAACAAATTCAGGAAGAGTGCATCTGTTTTGCAACAGTCAACCAGAGGAGTGGCACCCAGGTGTGTTTTCCACCGCTGTGTGCAGACCACCAGGTTGCCTCCTGTCTCTACGTTACCAACTCGGCAGAAGCAGAGAAGAGACGACTGCAGTCAGTCCAACGAGAGGGACAAGTGAGAACTGTGGATTTTGGTTTGGATCTCCAGTTTATGTGTGAAGGGGTGATATATATGTTTAAATGATTAACCTATTTTTAAAAATGTATTTAAAGGCTACTTGTCCTACTCTAGTTTGAACATCCCTCCTGAACTGCTGCTAGATGTCAGAAAAGTAACTATTGTTCTTTTGCGACGAACATACCTCACATTCAGCATTTCCAAAGCAGTGACAGGATGCAGTGGAGGCCAGTCAAGGATTAACGAGTAGATTTCACTCAGATAAGCTACATCCCAGCTTGGGGCACTTGCCAAAATCTTTGGAAGGCTGTCCTTATACTCATGACAATAGTAACGTTTTTCCCATAAAAATTCCTTGTCTTCCTTTGATAACCTGCAGAGACAAACAAAATCACATTCAGACAGTCACTACAAATTAGAACAGTATAATGCTGCGGTGATCAGAGCGTTTACCTATGATTGACAAATCAATCCACATGGTGAGAGCTTCAGAAATGTATTTAAAGTGGAACTAAAAATTAGCGTTGCGCTATTTTTACATTAACAAAAAAAACTTCTGAATATTATATTCCTGGCATATTTTTCTGCAGATGCCAGCGTGCACATGAGCAAGTCCATAGCATCATGTGTGTTGCTGTCATCCAAGACATGGAAGTGTTTGGAGGCACATGAGTTTTTCCACTTACCTACAGTGTTTCTTCAAAAACTAACAAAAAAAAATAAAAAAAATCAGCCATGTCACAAAATAAAGAGAATTACCTTGTCCTTAAAGGACCACTATAGTGCCAGGAAAACACTTGATTTCCTGGCACTATAGTGCCCTGAGGGTGCCCCCACCTTGAGAATCACAGTGAGAAGCGTCGAAGCGCCTCTAGCGGCTGTCAATGAGACAGCCACTATGTAAGAAATTGATATTCCAAACTGCAATATTGTATATAACTTTCTGTGTATGTGACTGGTTTCACAAGTGGGGGTCATTTACTTGATAACAGTGTGATAAGGATCAAAGCGTTCAGTTGCATTTTACACCACTCAGCTAAGACAAAAGCTTACATCCCTCCAGCAGTTCTCCTGCCAACCAGTTTTAACATCTAGGTGTAACCATGGAAGTGTGTGTTTTCCCAAGCAATCCTGTCCAATCTACCAAGAAACCTAATCAACTGGTCTTTCACGATGTTACAGTATGGCTGGAGGGAAAAGATCAAAGGGAAAGACTTGTGTAAAGACAGAACTCTCTGGAGAAAGAGGGCGGGATAAACCACTTTTGGGAGGGAAAAGGGATTCTGGGACTTGTAGTTTATTACTCCAAGAATCAGTCTTTAAAAGGACAACAACCAAGGAAGGCTCTCTCTTTCTCTCTCTCTTTGGAGAGGACAACGCAGCAAGCAGGGCCATGGTGAACTAAGAGAGGCTGTCCCAGATTACCCAAGATGAAGGCGCAAGGGGAAGACCTGCATTTAAATGTTTAAGTATTGCCTTTTATTATGTAGCTTTTGATTATGTACCGGATATAATGTATAATGTATATTGTGTATATCCTTTTAAAATCTAACAGTATCCTTAAATGAATATTTACAATACATTTTATTATACACTTGTGTTTATGTCTTATTTGTCACACATTCCCTAAAAGAATATCCTTGTAAGAGGGTCATAATTTCTTACAACTAGAGGCTGGATTAACCCTAACGTAAACATAGCAGTTTCTCTGAAACTATGTTTATGGAAAAATGGGTTAACCCTAGCTGGACCTGGCACCCAGACCACTTCATTAAGCTGAAGTGGTCTCGGTGCCTATAGTGCTCCTTTAAAGGAATACTCCAAGCAATACAGTTCACTGTAGTTTGACAACATATCTGGGGACAGCCTGGGCACAAAAGCAGGGATATAGTTTTAAATCTACAAAAGAATACATATAAAATAGCGCAAATGGACCAAATTTATCTCTAAAACGCAGCAAACCAAAAGGTAATAAATAGTGCAAAAGCAACATTGTTTATTTGCTTTGTTATAAATGTAAATTAAAGTCCTTCTAAAGAAAGTAATTTGTAGAGCTGTATTTATATTTAAGTATTTGTATGCACTATTGTCTTGGAAATAAAATATTTTATCATTAATACTGCTGTATACCGCTGAAGCTCCTTGGAGAAAGGTGTCTTTTAATTGGTTGACTATTGTGTCCATTTGCCCCATGTAATCATGGGAGGCACCTTGGAGCCTATTTTATCTTCCAGATTCTGTTAGTGTATTTGAGCTTGCCTTGTCTATCCATATCAATATGTTATCAAGCTATTTTATATGTGAGTTATTTTAAGATCTAAATTTGTACCCCCATAGTGTTCTTTTCATACACATTGACTATTGGCTGACTATTTGGGAAGGACTCCTGGAGAAGCTGCCACTATTTTCCATTTACCAAGATTTTTTTTTTTCCCTTATATATTTTTTTATTAGTTTTTCATATGTAAACACAATATACAATTCTTGACATTTACTATCCATAAGCTCACCTTCAGAGCGTATAAAGAACGTATCAAAACGTATCGTAAATTTTTAAAAAAAAATTAAAATACATAACAAGCAGATTGTAAACCCCACACTCCCGATCTGACTCTGAAGGTAAGGATCAAAGGACAAACTTGCTTAAACATACACAGACAAGACAAAGCAAAAATGGCCATAGTGTTTTTCCAAATTTCTCTTGTCCTGGAGAGAATACAGAGTCCTAGATGTACCCTTCATTCAGAGTTAAAAAAAGAGAGCAAAAAATAAATACCAAGGAGGGTAAAACCCACCCAAACCATAATCAGCTTTTACAGGCTCTCTCTTTTAGACTTAACCATAAGGACAACATGTCATGTGGAACCTTTATAATACCGCTTTCCATTCTTAGTTGAAATTTTAACTGTTATTTAACCCCTTAAAGACACATGACATGTGTGACATGTCACGATTCCCTTTTATTCCAGAAATTTGGTCCTTAAGGGGTCAAAGTCCAAATTGGGGTGATAGATTATTTCCAATATCTGGCTTTCATAATTTTTTCAGCTAATATGTGAGTAACCAAGGGAGTATAATTTCCAAAAGTATGCTTAACGTTAAGCTGTAGTAGAAATAAGTCAGGACCATAATAAAAGGGTTTACGGATAGATGCTTGAATTTTACTCCTGATCATATTCCAAATAGCTTAATAGGGGGCACTCCCACCAGATATGTAGAAATTCAGCTCTTTGGTTCCCACATCTCTAACATCTGTGTTCCTGATTTGGAAAGAATTTACACAATCTATGTGGCACCAAATACCATATGTCTAAAAGCTTGAAGTGGCACTCTAATAGATTGAGACAATGAACACTTTTACATACCACACTCCTAGAATATCTCCATTCCTTTCAGCTAATTTGAATATTTAAAACTGTCCCCGACTTCTACAGTGTGGGTATATCTTGATCCCTATTAACCAGTTCTAGACAGTCAGCTACTATCTTTGTTGGAGTAGTTTTTTTTGCCCCAATAGCTTTTCCAATAAGATTAGTTTTATTTTCCAACTGCTAAATAATTACTCAAGAAACCTTTTATTCTAAGATAGTTAAACTTCTTTGTTATCTAACTTATATTCAGCACGCAACAAGTCCTTAAAGTTGTTGTTATTTATTAAAATCACTTATTTTCGGAAGACCACATTTGATCCAATTTCGTATATTTAAATCACCTATATTATAGGATAAATAGGTTATAGGAAGATAAGCAATTACTTTATTTTGAATTGATTTTTATTTTTTTACATTTCTCCCAGTAGTTCATTACATTACAAGATCATACTTCCAGATTTCCCTAATGAAGGGCTTATTTATTTGCCAAAATAGAACGCTCAGATCCAAATTATGCTGCTCCGTCTGAATCAGGGACTGTTCGATTTTATACCATATTTGTTCTTTGGCATTTTCTCTTTGAGTGATAAAGACATGCTAAGTTGCAGGCTTTTTGGTATTCTTTTAGAAGGGGTAACCCTAGGCCTCACGATTTAACCTTTAACGCTAAATGGTTAGCATTAATTTGTGGGTGTTTCCCCGCCCATATAAACGTATTAATTAGGGACTGTGCAAGAGTCATCCAGCTGTCTGGGCAAGCCAAAGGTAACAAACGAAACAGGTAAATGCACTTGGGGAGAACATATGATCTCACCGTATTAATTCTCTCCCACCATGAAATCTCAATATTCCTCAATTTTTTCATTTTTCTGCAGGTTTCTTTTAGCAATGGTAAGAAGTTGAGTTCCATTATTTTAAAGGGATCACAGGCGATCTCCACCCCTAGACAACTAAAATGATTCCATGGCACAAAAAACAAAAACCTGCATCAGGCCTTCAACGACATCCTGAGGCAAATTGAGCAGCAGTGCGACTGATTTATCAAAATTTAGTTTATAACTGGAAAGTATAGAATTCCTCCATCAAAGGTATCAATTCTCTCACAGAGTTCTTCGGGCCACTAAGTGTGAGTACTAAGTCATCTGCATACATAATTAGCTTAACACAATCATCTATAACTTGCAGCCCTTTGATTTGATAATTGGCTCTTATTGCTACAGCTAAAGGTTCTAAAGCAATTAAATATAAAAGTGGTGAGAGCGGGCATCCCTGTTTGGTCCCATTTTTAAATTGGAACCATTAAGAGGAGAACCCGCTACCAACCACCTTAGCTGTCGGATTAGTATATAAGGCCATTATGGATCCTCTAATATCTCCATGTATACCAAAAGCTGCATCTAGGAAGTCCCACCTGACCCTGTCAAATACCTTTTTGGCATCCAACGAAAGGGCTGGGAAGGACAATCCCTTTATTTAGGCCATATCCACAATGTCCACTAATCTCCTAATATTATACACTGGAGACCTGCTTGACATGGATTCAGTTTGATCCTGGTGTAAAATTGTGGGTATGATATTAGTCTTGCTGCAATTATTGCTAAATATAGATTAATATCAATGTTTAATACGGTAATGGGCCTATAAATTGCCAACTGTTCTGGATTCTCATTTTGTTTAGGAATAGGCACAATATGGGCTTTTAGCATTTCATGTGGAATATTACCTGTTGACATAATGTAATTAAACATATTGAGGAGGAGAACTACGTCTAGGTCTTCATTCATTAGTCTATAAAAACCATAACTAAAGCCATCCAGGCCCGGGGATGTGTGTGCTTTGAGTTTTTTTGATAGCGGTACTAACCTCAATCAGAGAAATAGGTTTACTCAGCGGATTTAACTGGTCTTTAGAGACCTTCAGAACCTTAAATATGGTATAAAAAAAAAAAAAAAAGAGAAACTGCTATGTTTCACTGAGGGTTAAGACAGCCTCTACTGGCTGTCTCACTGACAGCCGCTAGAGGGGCTTCCGTGATCCTCACTGTCAAAATCACGGTGAGAAGACGCTGGACTAGTATGGGCAAAAGTATGGGCGGTTTGAATGCGTATTCAGACCTGGCGTCGGCAGGGGGAGGAGAGGTCACCAGCACAGAGGGAGCACGGTGCTGGTGAAAGGTAAGTGGCTAAAGGGGTTTTAACCCCTAATCTTGAATAGACTTGATGTACACAAGAGAAGCAGGTATAATCCATTTCTTGAGGGTTCCATATCCACCATAAATCATACATACCACTCTTCCTCAGAATGTCGTTGAAAGGTCCTAGACGAGCCCCTAGTGTAATTTTCATTTCCTTTGCCTTTCAGACTACTCCTATCTAGTACCGGGTCTAAAATACAGTTGAAATCTCCTAGATAAATGATCCTCCATTGTCGGATTCTTTAATTATTAAGTTAAGAGTTATTTAACACCATATTTTTGTACGCACTTTTTATGTAGTATTGATGGTGGTGGTAGTTAAGTACTTTTTCTTAAAAAATATACTTAATTTAGAATTTGGGATTAGGTCTCCATTTGAGTGGAAAAAAAACCACAAGAAAAATACATATAAAAATAAATAGTGCTCGCTCGGTTTAAAAAAACAAAAAACTTTGAGTGTGCTTACCCTACACAGTTACACAGTTTACAGTAAATGACCTTACAGTATAAGAGACAGTAAAGAAAAGTTTCTCCTTGGGCAATCTGGCAGATCCAACTCCTTCCAGCCTCCTCCTCACTCTGGATGAATTCCTGGGACAGTATCTGACACAATGACCTTCATCTTTCTGGTTGGTAATATAGAAACATAGAATGTGACGGCAGATAAACGTTTGGCCCATCTAGTCTGCCCAATTTTCTAAATACTTTCATTATGCCCATCCCACGCATGCTTAAACTCCTTTACTGTGTTAACCTTTACCACTTTAGCTGGAAGGCTATTCCATGCATCCACTACCCTCTCAGGAAAGTAATGCTTCCTGATATTTTTAAACCTTTGTCCCTCTAATTTAAGACTATGTCCTCTTGTTGTGGTAGTTTTTCTTCTTTTAAAATATATTCTCCTTTACTGTGTTGATTCCCTTTATGTATTTAAATGTTTCTATCATATTCCCCCCGTCTCGTCTTTACTCCAAGCTATACATGTTAAGATACTTTAACCTTTCCTGGTAAGTTTTATCCTGCAATCCATGAACCAGTTTAGAAGCCCTTCTCTGAACTCTTTCTAGAGTATCAATATCCTTCTGAAGATATGGTCTCTAGTACTGCGTACAATACTCCAAGTGAGGTCTCACCAGTGTTCTGTACAATGTCATGAGCACTTCCCTCTTTCTACTGCTAATACCTCTCCCTATACAACCAAGCATTCTGCTAGCATTTACTGCTGCTCTATTATATTGTCTGCCTACCCTTAAGTCATCAGAAATAATCACCCCTAAATTTCTTTCCTCAGATGTTGAGGTTAGGACTCTCAAATATTCTGTACTCTGCCCTTGGGTTTTTACATCCAAGATGCATTATCTTGCACTTATCCACATTAAATATCAGTTGCCACAACTCTGACCGTTTTTCTAGTTTACCTAAATCATTTGCCATTTGGCTTATCCCTCCTTGAACATCAACTGTTACATATCTTAGTATCATCAGCAAAAAGACATACCTTACCATCAAGTCCTTCTGCAATATGACTAATAAAAATATTAAAGAGAATGGGTCCAAGTACAGATCCCTGAGGTACCCCACTGGTGACAAGCCCAAACTTCGAATATACTCCATTGACTACAACCCTCTGTTACTTGTCACTCGGCCACTACCTTATCCATTCAACAATATTGAAATCCAAAACAAAGATTGCAGTTCACTGATTAGCCTTCTATATGCAACAGTGTCAAAAGCCTTACTGAAATCTAGGTAAGCAATGTCTACTGCACCACCCATATCTATTATTTTAGTAACCCAATCAGAAAAATCAGTATGATTAGTTAGGCATGATCTCCCTGAAGTAAACCCATGTTGACTCCGATCTTGAAATCCATGTGATTTTACATGTTCAACAATCCTATCCTTTAACATGGTTTCAAACCCCACTACTGCTTACTGGCCTATAGTTGTCCGACTCCAACCTGCTACCTTCCAATCTTCTGGGACTACTACTGTCAACAATGATTGCTTAAATAAATCTGTTAATGGTTTTGCTAGTAACTTTTGGTGAATCCTATCAGGCCCCATCAACTTGTCATTACTTTTGACAGTTAAAATAGAACCTCTTCGTCTGTAAACTCACATGTAACAAAAAAATCTGTTAGAACTTCACATTTTATTTCTTTACTGAATGGGTAGTGGATGCATGGAATAACCTACAAGCTGAAGTGGTAGAGGCTAACACAGTGAGGGAGTGTAAGGATGCCTGGGATAGGCATAAGGCTATCCTAGCTAGAAGATAAGGCCAGGGACTAATGAAAGTATTTAGAAAATTCGGCAGACTAGTTCTTAAACAGTTCTTATCTGCTGTCACATTCTAGGTTTCTATGTAACAGTAACGCACGCTTTCTAAACACTTTAGTATGATCCCCACAAACCGATAGAGAATATTTTCAGAGCACCCTCTTGCAAGTTTATAGTGAGAAAAAATTGAATCCAACAATAACGAAAAATATCTCCATTCCCCTTCAAAGAAAGTCAAAGCAAGCTGCAGGGTCCAACAAATGAAGGATTTGTTTGACTGCTTCAGTACTGGAACATCTTTTATGTCTGCTTCTAGCAAACTCAAAGAGTCCTGCTACACACTAGTGATGGGGTGTGCTATTTACAATAGGAACTTACCCAAAAATGGAATCTTTGGCAAGAAGTGAAAGAAGCCTGGACTTAGCCTCCTTGCTCAGGGTGTCAATGTTTTGCCGTGCGTTGCTACTTGCAGGTTCAGGAGTGTGGTAAACAATGTCAAACGCAGGAGATGGGAAATCAACCTTCGAAATGAAAACAAGAAGGACTTTTAAATCGCTCCCTACAACATAAAACAAACAGATATACACATAATTTCTAAAAAATCATGTAACAGAACAATACGCTGGAAACAGCTACTTTCTAAATTATGGAAACTGCTACTCTTTCCATTTAGCGATATATATGTACATTCTGAGAAGATTTATATGCGCAAGTCATTAAATAATCCTGACATACAGACACCATTTGGAATCAATCAGAAGGAATATTCCATTGGTTTCCATGGTGATTGTTCTATTTATAGTTAGGGTTCTAGATATGTTCTTTACATAAACCTTAAACAAACACTGAAGAATTCCGAATACAGATCTGCATTCCTAAAACTATAGAGTCGCTGCAATTAGCTCTAAATAGGTCACACACCCCCAGCAAGAATAAAAGTCTGCGTATCTTATTGCACTGAGGCTCCCTCGTCGCTGTCTCCTTTGTAAGTGTCCAATCCCACAAGCATTCAAATGTTCTCATACGAAAGCACTGAATCAATATTTTCCTATGGGGCTTCTGCATCATGCGTCTGAATTTTACGCTGTCTGTACCGTGCAAGCGCCTCTAGTGGCTGTCAGTGGGATTGCCACTATAGGAGGAGTTAACCCTGCAATGTACATATTGCAGTTTAAAAAAAAAATAAATAAAAAAAAGACAACCCAAAAAACAAGCTATGTTTTATGTTGCAGGGTTAAGGGGCAGTGACACAGCACCCAGACCACTTCAATTAGATTAAGAGGTCTGGGTGCCTATAGTGTCCCTTTAAGACCTATGTCTATACATACATTTAATGCCACATCTGGTTACAGACACTGTGTCAACAATAGGAAAACAAAACTGCTAAACACCGAGCCTAATAAATGGATTATACCTGTAAAACGAGTTTTTGCATCTGGTTGGACTTTCTAACTGTTCCAGGAGCTGGGTTAACAGGGAAGGACGTCCACAGGTTTAAAAGCTTTGTTCCACAAGTTAGCAGCCTAAATCCATAGGAAACAAAGGTTATAGACTTAAGCACTTTATCCCGATATGTTACCAGTATCTCAAATTGTGAATAAAGAACAAAAAAAATAAAAATATATAAGAATCACATACTAAAAATGCTATAAGAATTTGAGCTGAAATAAAACGGTTCATCTGAAGTTGCCTGAATAAGATTTAGCGAATACATTCTTTTTATAAAAATGAAGTAAACAAAAAAAAAATCTAAGTGGGATTGCGTGCAATACACAGAGCAAGTAATACAGTGCCAACAACAACAACAAAAATCCTAAAGGAACACTATAACGTTAAGAATACAAACACGTATTCCTTTATTGTGTTTTCCTATCTATATAGATTTAGCCTCCCCACTACAACAATTATAATTTTTGTTTATTTTTTTTATTTCCTTTAGTCCCCCAGAGCGTCAGGCTCACCACAGCTGCCACTGCTCCCCTGACTGAGATCATCATTGCAGGTTGTCTCTGCCAGTGACCTTCTACTGTTCGCTGCTTGTACTCTTACTACTAACTTGCGTCTGCAGGACTTCCTGCAGGCGGCTCCTTTCCTTTGGAAAAGCTTGCCTACCCCATAACCTAGACTTCAATTATTTAAGAAAACCCATCTCTTCAGATAAGCTTATAACCTCCCATAGTAACACCAATTTCTCAAACCTGTCTATTGCGTTCTCCTAAAAGGCCACACTCCATGCTTACATTCCAGCCCTGCTACTTTCCCACCCTGTCGTTTGGTTGCTATACCCCTCAATGCCCTTCCTATTGTGTTTTTATACCCCACCTCCACTAGACTGTAAACTAATTTGAGCAGTATCCACATCAACCTATTGTTCCAGGTAACATTTTGTAATAGTCTCATTTATTTTTAAATTTACCCATTTTACAATACTGGAAAGTGATGCAGAATAAGTTGGCACTATATAAATATAAAAAAAATAATGTCTTCAGTAATCAACTGCAGCAGTGCTGTCAGCAACGTACAGCCAGGGCTTCAGTCAGTTCTATTGTATGCTTTCTGCTTCCTATGATAGTAAGGCTGGCCACGGATGCTGTACAGTACTGGGGTACTGACCCTAGTAACAGGCAGGCAGGGCAGAGCAGCTGCACAATGACCCCAGTAACGGAAAGGCTGGCCACGGTTGCTCTACACAGAGCCGAGAATCCAGAAGGCCAGCCACGACTGCTCTATAATGGCACCAGTAATGGAAATGCTTGCCACAGCTGCTGTACAATGACCCCATTAAAGGGAAAGCCGGCAACGGCTGCTGTATAATGACCCAAGTAACTGAAAGACCAGCCATGGCTGCTGTATAATGACCCCATTAAAGGGAAGGCTGGCCACAGCTGGCATATAATGAACTGACCCCAGTAACAGGAAAGCTGGCCACAGCATAATCCCTGTAACACCAAGTTAATATTATGGACATCGGCCTTTCTTACCGTTTATAATTGAAGAGTGGTAGAGAGACTTGACCCAGGAGCTCTGGTCCTCGCCTCTGCTTGTTGGAATCAGGAGAACCACCACTGTTTGGGTTTAGTATCCCATACAATGTCAGCTGCAGAATGGATTCTAGAGGCATCTGTGATATCTGGATGGGAAAAATTATCCTGGAGAAAAATAAAGAAGAATTAAGTCATTCACACTGTGGGTGTAGACCATGCTCACTCTTTGATATATGAATAATACATGTTACAGTGAGATAGCAGCTGGGAAAGGAAATCAGAGTGCAGTCTGTGTTTGAAAACTGGGGGCATGCAGGACATATCAGGACTGGCACTACAGATTAGATTACTGCCCAGGATCTCAGGTGACTATAGAATTGTTCGGCTGCAGAGCTCCTAAAGAGCAATATATATGTCAGAACCACAACCCTCTAACTACATTCCTTCACCGTTCTGCACAAAGCACTTCTCTTTCAATTGGTGACCAGCCATGGTGGGAAAAAAAAAATTAATTAAAAAATATAGTTTATATTTAAGATCTATTATAATCCAAAGATTATTAAATAAGAATAGTTTAATTAATCCATTCACGCTCTCAGAGGTTCCTGAAACATTGTTTTGAACAGATTTTCTTAATCTAGAAGAAATTATCAGAGATGCTTGGATTTCTGGAGATAACATGCATCTTCTCCACAGCAAAAATTTTATAAAATAAACAGAGCTCAGAAAAAGACCTTAACTCTATTAACCTAGTCTGAAAAGGTCATTCTTCTAAACATGAAACATTTCTGTTATAAATATTAAGATTATAACAAAGAAATTTACGCCTTTATGTAGAAAATTATGATTTAAACAGAGTCTTCCTTACTAGTGATTTAAATCTAAATTTACATTGAATTCCTGACAATTCTCACATTAGTGAATAACTATGTATGTATTATATTTCAAGTAACCTTATCTTTTCAAATTGTGCCAAATATGTGTACAGTATATATTCCAAAATATCTACATAACTGCAATAAAAACCAAGTCATTAAAATTCTTACAGTTCATCCCATTTGACAAGATAAAAGAAACTTTTGTAAGTTCCCACTTTTTTGGACTGGATAGGTTTAAACGTGTCCTTCCCATTATGGACAAGCGAGCAAACCAGGTAGTACTTTTCAAAGCTGCAAAGAAAGTGAAATATACACCATTAATGAGAAACATCTCTTACAGATATAAATGACATGGTAGTCTTAAACTCCCACAATCCTCTAACAGACAGTCTAACTCACTAATACTCCCATAATCCTCTGACAGGCAACCTAACTCAATGCTGCACTCATCTCCCATAATGTCCTGACAGGCAACCTTACTCACTGCTACTCTCATAATCCCTTAACACACAGTATAACTAATGAAAAACTTCACCAGACTGTGGATTCTGCAGACCTCTAGAAATACACAGGATAAAAACAAAACAGTGAAACTTCAGTACTAAGTGCTAAAATCTTCTACTGAGGGGAAAAGCATCAGAGTATGTGCTCACCAGGATACCCAGGCTGTAGGTATTCCATGGGCAGCAAAAATGGTGAACTGCAGATGGTCTGCAGTGCTCTGGGCTTCTTTCGTGATTCTGTCATTACTAGTGGCTTTAACGGAACTGGATGTGACAAATGAGTCAAAGTGGAGTTGAAGAAGATTGTGAACGGCAGTAGTAAGAGCACTCAAACTCTCCTCTAAAGGATTATCACTCCGGGTAGAACCTAGTGACAGAGAGTAGCAATAATTAACATTGTATTACGATATTAATAGACAACGCCCGCTCCAGACAGAACGTAGTGACCGTGTGAAGCAATAAGTGATACTGTATTACGTTATTATACAGCACACGTTCCAGACCAAACTTAGTGACAGAGTGCAGCAATAAGTAACATTGTATTACAGTATCAATAGGCAGCACTCGCTCCGGACAGAACCAAGTGACAGAGTACAACAATAAGTAGCATTGTATTACAGTATCAATAGACCAAGCTCGCTCCAGATAGAACCTTGTGACAGAGAGCAGCAATAAGTAACATTGTATTACGGTATCAATAAACAGCGCACGCTACAGACAGAACCTAGTGACAGAGCAGCAATAAGTAACATTGTAACATTATCGTATTAATAGACAACGCTCGCTCCGGACAGAACCAAGCGACAGAGTACAACAATAAGTAGCATTGTATTATGATATTAATAGACAGCACTCACTCTGATCGTTCCCTGTGTACTTACCGTCTGAAGCAATGGAGTCAGACCCATCTGTGGTTCTGGTTGAATCCTATATAAAAAATAAATAAAAAAAAATAAAATAATTTGTGATGTAATAAATAAAATGTCCCATACCAAGGCTTTTAAAGGAAAATAAATTATATATGTGCTTATATAAGATGTGGCCCTAATGATTCTAGCATAATATCCATAAACTATAATTCTAGTTTTGCTTTTCTTCTCTTCCAAATCTGTCCAGTGTTTAAATATTCAGTATAACAGACAGTTTTATCAATTATTATTATTATTACTGGTATGTGTTCCAGGCAGACAAACAGACTGAAACTTACTGCTCTGTTATCAGGCCTGATTGATATACTACACTGTGGACTATAGGTGGACACCCCCAGTAATGACTTAATTTGGTATTTCAACCTCACCGATTACAAATCGGTACAAAATCTAGAACTACGTCACAAAATTTCCATAGACCGTCACAAAATGCAACCAATGGCACAAGTCTGTTTGTGAAATTAATGCCCTTCTAGACCTGTCCTGGTCAACAGATTCAAAGATCAGATCAGTAAGTCTTCAGAGATTAATAAGATAGTAGTTCCTTCTACAAGAAAGTATTAATATATTAAAAAAATCATTAAAACATTAAACCAAAAACAAAACATTAAATGCACTCCAGACGTAATAAAGGGGTCTGGATGCAATAGCCCTGTAGATCTAACCTGCCAATGTAAAACATTGCTGTTTTGTAGATTGTTGACAAACAGACAGCCACTACAGGCACTTTCGCAGTAACAACAGATTGAAAGTCATGTGACGTTCAACATCTTGAAATGCAGTTCATAAGAAAGCACAGAATTCAATGTTTTCCTGTGGAAAGCATTTGATTGGATGGGCGTGAGACATTTTACGCACATCACATCATGAATTAACTGACCTTCTCCATTCATAGTGAACTGCATAGCAACTGAACTCTGACTTACAGTTAATTCCAAACCAGCTTTTCTGCTATACAGCACGGTGGAAAAGCAAGTTTTTTAAAGGATGTGGTCTTATCAGAATTTTATACCGTAAAAAAAATAACAGATTAGCAAGACTAAAGGTGATATTTTGATACAATGTTGATTTTCTTCACTCACTTTGCATTTTGTCAATTGATAAAGAGAGACCATTAACATTTCTTCTTTTTTTTTTTTTCCTTTTTTTTTTTTTTTAAGAGACACCTGCCTAAAACGTTTGCACAGAACGCTCCTGGAGGAAGTCCCACACCCAGGCAGATTTTCTCCATTATAGACTCATGTTGCTTTCATACAGCGCAGCCTTTGCCCTCGCCAAACAGTCATACTTTTCCTTTCTCATTAGTTCATGCTCCCGCAATCCCAGACGTCTCTTTGACACATTTAATTCTCTTCTCCGCCCTGCTGTGGCCACCCCCCAAACTAACCTTACAGCCGATAACTTTGCAAGCTACTTTACCGACAAGATCGAACAACGAAGGAAACAATTCTCCCCTCCTTGCCGTTCTCTTTCTCAACCACACGGAAATCACGCCTTCCCTACCCTTGGGACCTTCTACCAGGCTACTGAACAAGAGGTAGCTGTGCTTCTCCATTCCTCTCGCCCCACCACTTGCCCGCTGGATCCTGTCCAGTCTCACCTTATCAGATCTTTCCTCCTGTCTTGTGAATTCCTTAATACATATCTTCAACTGCTCTCTCTCTTCTGGCACTGTTCCTGCTGACCTTAAACATGCCACTGTAGTACTTATCCTGAAAAAAAAAACATCTCTTAACCTGTCCTCCCCCTCTAACTAAACGTCCCATATCCCTGCTCCCTTTCTCATCAAAGCTTTTGGAAAAACTTGTCTTTACCAGTGTGTCTCACTTCCTCAATTCCAACTCTCTCCTTGACCCTCTTCAGTCTCACTTCCGCCCTCTCCACTCTACTGAGACTGCGCTTATCAAAGTTACTAATGACCTAATCGCAGCTAAATCCAAAGGTCACTACTCCATATTAATTCTCCTTGACCTCTCTGCTGCTTTTGACACCGTTGATCATGCTCTCCTCCTTCAAACTCTTCAATCGCTCAGTCTCTGTGACTATGTCCTCTCTTGGTTTTCCTCCTCTCTCTCACAACGCTCATTCAGTGTCTGCTTTTCCAAGGATACCTCCTCCCCTCATCCTGTCTCAGTTGGAGTTCACCAGGTGTGTCTTTGGTCCCCTTCTATTTTCTCTTTATACTGCCTCTCTTGGCAAACGTATCTTTTGGATTCCGCTATCAGTTTTAGAGAGATTGAGTTTCAGAAAGCGTGAGGACATCCAGTCAGAGATGGAAGAAAGGCAAGCAGTGACACGCTTCAGGACGGCAGGGGAGAGGTCTGGGGAGGAGATGTAAATCTGAGTGTCATCAGCGATGTAAATCTGATGACACTCAGATTTACATCTCCTAATACTGGATGTCCTCACACTTTCTGAAACACAATCTCTCTAAAACTGAGCTCCTTGTCTTTCCTCCTCCTAATACTGATCCTCCTCTCTCGCTCTCCCTTCAAGTCAGTGATATCCACATAAGTCCATCCTTGCAAACACGCTGTCTTGGCGTCACACTTGACTCTGGCCTCACCTTTGAGCCTCACATCCAGTTTGTTACCAAATCCCGTAGGTTCCAACTTAAAAACATAGCCCGCATCCGCCCCTTTCTCACACAAGATGCTACCAAGGAGCTTGTCCATGCTCTAGTAATTTCCCATATAGATCACTGTAACCCTCTCCTGATTGGACTCCCCAAAAGCCATTTTGCCCCGCTACACAGTCTGTAATGAATGCTGCAGCTAGACTGATTTTCCTCTTTACTCGGTTCTCTCACACCTCACCACACTGTCAGTCCTTACATTAGCTTCCTGTATCCTATAGGAGTCAATTCAAAGTGCTAACCCATACATTTAAAGCACTGAACAATTCTAGCCCCTCATATCTCTTCACTGATCCATAGCTATGCCCCTCCTCGTTCCCTCCGCTCGTGCCCGTGACCACCTCCTGACCGCTGCTCGCACCCCTACAGCCAACTCGCACTTGCAGGACCTCTCGCGGGCGGCTCCTTTCCTATGGAATAGCCTGCCTACCGCCATCAGACTCTCCTCTAGTCTTCAATCATTTAAGAAGGGCCCTAAAACCCATCTCTTCAGGAAAGCTTATGGCCTCCCAGAGTAACCTCTACCTTACATACCGGTCTCTTGCTCTCTCCTATAGGGCAGTGCTTTACTCTGCTTCACTCCCACCCTATTTGATATTTCCTGTCTTAACATTTCTAATACCCCACCTCCTATAGTCTGTAAGCTCGTTTGAGCAGGGTCCTCTTCAACCTATTGTTCCTGTAAGTTTTCTTGTAATTGTCTTATTTATAGTTACATCCCCCCACCTCATAATATTGTAAAGTGTTACGGAATCTGTTGGCGCTATATAAATGGCAATAATAATAATAATAATGCAGTGTATATAATCTAAATGTGTGTTACCTCTGTCTTTATCCTGGGGAGGTTCACTGCCCTCCGGAGTTTCTTAATAGATTCATTGATTGCCTGGGTTTCCACACCGTCAGCGGTTTTGCAGAGGTTTCGGACTGCTTTAATCACAAGATCAACAACTCTGTACTGATTGCCCTGAAGAAAAGATTAAATACATTCCAAAAGTTGTGCTCCAGAGGTGATGAGTACATGCATTAAAACACTGTATAGTAATACATATTTAGACTGCAACTTTGCCAATTTTCAGCACTTACAGCTGACCAAGCAAGGAAAGGAGTGGTGCAAGGGCAGGACACAAACGAGGGAAGGGGCAGGGCAAGGGGAGGACACAGGCGAGGGAGGGGGCGGGGCAAGGAGAAAAGGGCACAAGCAGGGGAGGGAGCGGGGCAAGGGGAGAAGGACACAAGCAAGGGAGGGGCGGGGCAAGGGGAGACTGACACAAGCGAGGGAGGGGCGGGGCAAGGGGAGAAGGACACAAGCGAGGGAGGGGGAAGGGCAAGAGGAGAAGGACACAAGCGAGGGAGGGGGAAGGGCATTGTCCATTATTATTGCCACCCTACATTTGACCCTTGCATGAACCCCATATATATTTTTTCAGGAGATATCACTAGAATAGTACCTTGTTTTTTAGACACATGCTGACTTGCTCATGGTAGGCATCCAGCAATTCTTTAAAGCTATGCCTGATGAGAAATAAAAAATAAAAACAGAAATTTTCAAACAAAAAACTATTGTTTCATGGAAAGAAAGTCCTACCAGTTCAGTTCCACCAAAATAAAAGAAACAATAGCAAAGTTGTTTGCACAATGAGTCTTTGCATGAGGATGTCCTTAGCATCCTTGTAGAGCAATAATAAATAATACATAATCTAAACAAAACAAGGGGACACGTTTGTAGTGCTAATGATGATGGTGATGGAAGGCAGCTCAAACAACCCAACACAGAGTCTCTCCTGTCTTGGTGAAAGAAAGGATGTAGACATGTAGAGAGAGGCACCTGGAGTGGTCCATAGGAGTATGCCAAATGTGGAACGAGAACAAACACACAAAAGGGAGACTATAAAGTGTAGTAGATCAGTGGTGTATGTGAAGAAATAAAGAAATGCACTTACATTATGTAGAGCTTTCAGTAAGCTCTACTTAAAAGCACCTATTTATTAGGATCCCCTACTGGGGATATGGTGTGAGTATCTTGGTCTGATGGGGGATGGTGCAGTGCTTGAAAAAATATAAACAAAACAGATGCCAATACAGTGTAGTATGTAGGTTACCACTGGACCATCTCCCATATTGTAAGTGCACAGTTTTTTCTTCTTCACATATAATACTAATCTACTATACTACATAGTCTCCCTTTGTGTGTTTGCTCTCGTCTCATATATGGCATACTCCCGAGGACCACCCTGGGGCTCTGCTCCCTCCATTTGTACACAAAACAAAAATTATTTATAAAGTGCCAACAAATTTCACTGCACTGTACAATACAAGATGAACTGCACCGATGTTTTTTTGTGTGGACTGCAGTACTCTTCATTATAAAGGTGATAACTAAATAGCTATGACATCTTTAAAACCCATTATACTATTAACTCCTTCACTACGGAGTACATTTTGATTGAAAAAAAAATGTTAGCATAACATTTATTTGCCGCAAAAAGGCTGCATAGCTACCCTATAAACAACATATCCTAATGTGTGCATTGCTTTCCAGAAAAGATAAAAAAATTTAAAAGATGCAAATGTACACAATTTCTATTTTAACTTATTCGTTCTACCTTTATCAAAATATTTGGGAACTTAAAAGCATTAGACAGTATGCAGTGTTCTTTATATTTCAGAGTATCTGAAATTATATTACTAAAGCAAAAATGCATGGTCGATGTGACAAAAATAGTCAACTACCAAGACTATAGGTACTTGAAAAGGACCCTGATGGTATTGCTAACAGTACAGCTTACTAAAATGGCAACAGAATGTAAAAGGAACGACTGCATTTGAGCATATTGCCCACATACAGTAAATACAGTTAAATTACATATTTGTAAAACAATGGTATTGCAAACTACTATAGCAATCTTAATCAGTTTCTGGACTGCTAGTGTAATGTTAACAGTGAAATGTTCACTCATTACATAGTTACATAGCTGAAAAAGAAGGCAAAAAATCCAGTTTGAAGCACTCCTCGCCTCCATAACTGTAGGAATGGTATGACCCATTAAAACTGCCTGTACTGTTTGGAAGCAGGGGGTGAGCAGACATTTCAGCATACTTCCAGTCATTAAACTTATGACTAGTGGCTTCTGGCAGAGAAGTGGTTAATAACATGATCATGAAGTGGTTAAGAACAGATCATTGAGGTAACAAAACAGACTCACTTAAAGTTAAAGCAACACTCAATGTTTAGCATGCATTAAAAGCATCTACCTGCATTACCTTTTTTGCTCTCATGATGCTTTGGGTGATCTAGGTCCGTAAACTGCACCAAATTCACCCTGATACTTAGCCAACTTTAAAGCTTGCAGTTGGGGTACCAGGGTTAGCCAAGCACTCTCAACCCATCAATGCCATACAAAGATGGATAGTTTAAACAGAAGGCCACCTCCATAGTAGCAGTGCCGCTGTATGCGTTAAGTGAAGGGAGAGCCGTTGTTTTGTTATTAAGGATGCTTAGAGTATGTACTTAAATTGGTGTACCATGGTAAACCTTGAATGTATGTGAAAAGCAGCAGGAAAACCTGCTTTAGAACTAGTGAATATTGCAGGCAATCTGGCAAATCAACAAAATATCAAAGGAGAGGCAAGCGACCCTCAAGCTATTACCACTAGCCCTCTTTTAACCCTCTAATAAAATCAATTACCGTGTGATTGGCTCTTTGAATGGTCTGTCAAGAAGAGCCAAATGTTTTTTAAGATCTATCTGCATCTCATCATCTTCAGCCTGTAGAAGAAAGTATCAAGATTGGCAAATTAGTAAAAATGAAATATGAAATGAATATCATTAAAGGACCACTATAGTGCCAGGAAAACATACTCGTTTTCCTGGCACTATAGTGCCCTGAGGGTGCCCCCACCCTCAGGGACCCCCTCCCGCCTGGCTCTGGAAAGGAGAAAAGGGGTTAAACGTACCTTTTTCCAGCGCTGGGCAGGGAGCTCTCCTCCTCCGTTCCTCCTCCTGGGCTGAATGCGCACGCGCGGCAAGAGCTGCGCATTCAGCGGTCACATAGGAAAGCATTCATAATGCTTTTCTTGGATGCTATGCGTTCTCACTGTGAAAATCACAGTGAGAAGCACGCGCCTAGTGGCTGTCAATGAGACAGCCACTAGAGGATTAGGGGAAGGCTTAACCCATTCATAAACATAGCAGTTTCTCTGAAACTGCTATGTTTATGAAAAAATGGGTTAACCCTAGCTGGACCTGGCACCCAGACCACTTCATTAAGCTGAAGTGGTCTGGGTGCCTAGAGTGGTCCTTTAAGCAGCAATGAGGTGAGGTTGGCTCAACAGTTGAGTCAATTTCAAGATTTTTCTGAGATTTAAATCTTATCAAACATGTCAAAAGCACAATATATACAAATAAATATAATAATTTAATTATTAGCCTCTACTTTGCTTGCTACATACAGACGCCCTCAGTGGAGAACATACGAAGCCAAAGTAATCAGCATGAGGAACTTATGCAGATTGACAGGGCAAAGTAAAACTGTCAAAGTATTTTGCTGGCAGTTTAAGCATATGCCACCTCCCTCTCTCATGAAGTACCAGTGGCTGAGCTGTGTACAAGGAAGTATTTTTCTGGAGTGAGGGAGGTGTGGCTGAGGAGGTGGGCTTATGATTTAGCTTTCTGCAAAAAAAGTTTCTTAATGCATAATATAATAAAATATACATTTTTTTACCCTTCAAAAAATACAGCATAAACAAATGCATTAAAGTTCTTTTTGTGCCTGGAGTGTCCCTTTAATTTGTATTCTATACATTATTTTTACAAAAACTGCAATACATGGTATTTTTATGTAGTAACAGACAATAATAAATCTGCAGTGGCTACAGTGAGCATACTCACTGTGCGAGCAAGATCTCTGCACATTGTGTTGACAGACAGCAACTGTAGTCTGATTTCTGCATCCCATTTTCGACATACTTGGATGTATTCATGGCTTCCCAGACAGTGTTTACTGAAAAAACAAAACAAAAACATGTATTCAAGATTAATTTCTGCCATACTGAAACAGAAAGGAAAAGACTCTCTCAGTAAAGTGTTTTCTAACCCACTGCCCCATGACAGCTTCATTTTAATAACAAGGTTTTTTTTGTGTTACAGTTTGACATAGTTACAGCTCAACCAGGATTAAGAAATTAAAAAAACTGAAACAAACTTAAAATGTCTTTAAGATCAAAGAACAATAAACCAAGGTCACCAGATGCAATTGAAGGAAAGTATAAATTCTACATCTGGCCATTTTTATAGGAATTGCAAGCCATCCACTCATAATTTTGAAGAACAAAGTTTTTTCAGATTCCAAAAGCACAACTGTCCATTTGTTTTTCTATATCTCTATATATATCTATATATAGAGCAGCACCTTTTTAATAGGCCAGATACCTTAAAGGGTTACAGCATTTACAGTGGAAATGCACATTGTCTAATATTGATTTGCAGGCACAATATACCAGACTGAAAGAACAGGATATTTGCTGTCTCTGGCTGTTGTGTTAAGACATGTCAGTGGTATTCACTAAGAAATTATGAACGTGACACAGTTAAATTTTTACTAAGTGACTTGGCTGGGGATATTGTAAGCTTAATAAAGTTAATATTTAAAATCAGGTCAAAGGGGAGCTATAATTAGAAGTAAAAAGTAGACTGTTGCTAGTGATTCATTGGGGCACTTACTTCTGTAACACCTCTTCGTGACCACACACTTTCAGGACATAGCTTTCTATGTCCACCTGGTTCAAGTCATCGTGGACCCAACAAAGAGCCTGTATAATGATCACTTCGACTGGTGAACTTACTGTGGCAGAGAGAGACGTAGCACGGACAAGATAATATAAGATAACAGTACAAGAAAATCCCTTGGAAAACACTAATTTGCATAAAAAACAACAATTTATCTTTAATGAATGGTCCATGAAGGAATTCTATAGTATATTACAGGACAATACATTTACAGATGAAAAACATTGTATAACATAGGTAAAAGGGTACACAAAGCTCCACTTCAGCGCTGTGCAATATGTTTGCGCGATACAATTAATTGCATGCACAGATTTGCTATTTGCACATTGTATATTGTTTAACAGCAAACATGCTGAGCTCCCCCTACTGGTCAGAAGTTGGATATGCTCAGAGTTTCTTATGAGTAAATTCAGCAAAGCACATCTCACGATGGAGCTCCGTTATAAGAACTGGACTAATACAGACTCCGTTATATGGAAAGTAGGTAGCATATACCTGGTGTTAAGAGTGTGTTTGTATTTCTAACACTATAGTGCCCTATTACTTCCCTTTATTCAATTGCAGCGCTGGTTTCCACTCACTTCCAAGGCTGATTAAAACTGCCAATCCAATGTTTTCTCCAAGAAAGCATTGGGAGGCTAGTGCACATGGCTGCAAAACAAAGACCTGTGCTACTCAGTTGGTCTCTATTTAACCATCTGATTGGAATGGGCAAGCTTCACTTACCTATCTGGACTGAAACACCTCTAGTGGCGGTCAGAGGAGCAATGTTTAACACTGCGGAGTTAAAACAGGGGCATGGCACCCAGACCACTTCATTGAGATGAAGCTGTCTAGGTGCCTATAATGTCCCTTTAAGCAGGGTATTGCAAACTCATGTGGAATCATTCACAAAACATTTTACTATTCTTTTTCTTGGACTTTGGACAGCTAAGGCCATTGCAAGCTCAGCTCTTTAAAATGCAAGACCAGTGTTAATCCACTATTCAGTGTTAATCACTATTTCCCTATTAGACAAACATGTAACATTCACACCTGACCCACACCGTTCTTTGTAAAAGAGCAATAACCTACCGTTTAGAAGAACATTCTGAAATATCTGCATTTTAAAAATACATAGTATGGTGTAGAATTCTGTGTTGGGTGTTCATATGACCCATGATCACAGCACAGGCATAAAATGTGTACATATCTAAATATGGAACATAAGGTGTGTGGTTGTTGAGATCGATAAATGGTTACTAAACTAAAAAAAAAAAACTAAAAAAATAAATAAAAAAAAATTCAACTTTCAAAACAATGAAAACTACAAAACGAAGGATAAAAAAATCAGAAACAAAGGGTCTTCGCTCAAGTAAGGTAATAAAATTACAACATTTCCAAAAAAGAACCACTTTGTAATCAGCAAGCTCCAAATCATTTCCACACGGGGGATTCTTAACCCCTTAAGGACCAAACTTCTGGAATAAAAGGGAATCATGACATGTCACACATGTAACAGGCGATCTAGATGAAAACCTAAGTTAACAAAACGTTAAAAAAAAAAATTAGTTCAATAAATTCCAAAATCCTATACCCAAATATTTGTGAGAAGGGGGAAAGAAGTAATGAAGACTAGGAATTACCTTAAGCGGGTTCTCAATACATTTCACATTTACCCTAATGCGTTCTCACTCATAAACGTGAAACTCATTTAGAACCCTTTTAGGGTCCTTCCTAGCATTCATTACTTCTTCACCACCACCATTCTCACAGGTACTTGGATCTAAGATTCAGAATTTTTATTTCTACTAGATGTGTCCTTTTTGTTAACTTATTTGGGATTTCATCTAGAACACAAGTTACTTATGAGGTCTATAAGTATTTTCTGTTCCATGTTGCATATTTTTCAATAAACTGAGTACTTTTAAGGATCCACCTTGTGCAAACGATTTGGAACTTACTGATTACCAAATGCGGTTATATTTTAGAATTTTGGTGCAGATGGAATTTGGAACTATGGAACCAGTACCAGAAGCCCAGGAGTGAATTTATCAGCTACAGTAAGTAACCACTGCGCACGTACTTAGTTATACATTTTTATCGGAGTTGCGCAGGGGAGATTTTCTTTTTTTTTTTTTTAATAAGTTAATGAAACTCACCATCGCATGTGAACGTTACCGGCTGCTGGAATCCTTCAATCTCTATCAATACCTTCACACTGCTCAATTCCCCACTGACATTTCTCTGTGGCATCACCGTGCTGAGAATATAGCCAGGATTGCAAAGGAGGTTGTGCCAGGGGTTCTGCTTCCTGAGTCTGTTGAAACAACATGAGAAGGGATTCGCACACAACGCAATTCACAATACACGAACAGCCAAATGAATACAGTTTGATTATTGCAACCATTCCATAAGGTGAGAAACCACAAACTTCTTCCAGTTTCCACAGTTTAGATTATCTGCAATTCTACATCAATGAAGAAACATCCTCATCATAAGTTTACTCTATTAATATATTTGTTATTTTAGAGCGGCTTGGTCACAATCTGGGGACTTAACATAATTTGCAATGACCCCCAATGGTGACAGCGCCACTGGTGGCAGACGTTACTGCTGCATCTCATGCATGAGCAATGAGGTCTGTGGAGGATCCTGCGAGACCCCAGTGGTGACAGCTGGGAGATTGATACTTCTAGATGGTGGTAGCTATGCCTAAAAGTATCAGGTGAAGGAAAAATCCCTACTTTGTCAAAGAATATTTTTTTTCATTGGGTTGGAATTTCAGTAAAATTTCAACACAGTTAAAATTAATATTTCATAAAGATCTTACTTTAGGAAACACTCATTTTGCAGGCGGGAGGTAGAGGGAGCTTACAGTGCCATTTTAATCCACATTTGCCATTTTTATGAATTTATTAAAAACATGGCTAAAATAAGCACCTTTTAAACCATTTAAGTAAATAAATACTGATTCCATCGATCATCACTGACAACCATCATGCCGTGGTTTTCCTTCCTCCCTCACTGCATCTGTGAATAGTTCTTATATTAAATTGTCTGTCTTCTCAAGTGCAACATAGAAATGACTCCCACACACATACAGCATCTTTCATGCAGGACAGGTGAGCAAACCGTTTCACAGTGATGAGAGAGACGTGGAGCCAGACTCCAGGCCCCATAATCACTTCAATCAGTTGTTATGAAGCAGATAACTACTTTTCTTTGTTTACTTGATTCCCCATTATCATTTATGCTCCTCTGTCCAGTATTTTTTGCAGTCCTTCCCTCTCTAATCCCAATGATATGCTTTTGATATATTCTCAAAAGCTTATTTTATGTGTGCCATTTATGCATATTGGTCTGTGTGTACTGCACCATTCAATTTTTTGTAAAGGCTGTTTTATTACCTTTTACACCCACCCACTCCCTTTTTATTTGCTGTGCCCTTTTACATAATTCTTTATTTCAATCAATAAAACTTGATTTACAATACACAGCAAAACATATGGCTGCAACTCAATATATAAAGTAGACATGAACTAGAGGTTTAACTAAAGCTCTAAGTGACTGTGGTGGTATGACTACTGGTATGCCAGACTTGGGACTTGGATTTCAGTATCCCAAAACCTCCATTGCTGGACTTTCTCCCTCTAGAGAAGGGACAAACCCTGTAGCAGAATAGGTCAAGCAGTCCAGGGCCTCTGACACCTCCAGATGAAGCGATAGAGACAATGTCATTGTACTAATACTTGACAGTGATACTGGCATTATGTCTTCGAGAAGCTCTGCTGGTTTTCCGGTGGCCACAGGGTGCATTGGAAGGTGAGTTATACTTACCTGAACCTGACCCACATGATGGTCGCCATGGTCTTCCTGCCAGTCCTCTTCAGCGCCTGACGCATTGGCAGCCAGGAGAACGTCACTGTTTAACACTTGTGAATGTTAGATTATAACCCTGAGGCCTATGGACGATCATGTGAGATCCTCCATAGAAGCGCCTCTCTGTATAGCCATGGGGACTACTTGGAGAAATAAAACAAAGATAACTCCACCTTTTGTAATGCGAAAGACATAAGACTGTCTTACGATAGCTTTTCATTGAGTTGAAATTTCAGGAAGGGAGGAGAGGGTTGACAAAGCCACTTTAAGTCTCAGACAAAAAAAAAATCAAAAAAAAATCTGCATTATAAAATAAAAACTTCTGATTAAACTTCTATATATAAAAAGTCACCTTTTCGTTTTATTATCACTGACACTTAAACCTAACTGCCAATTGTAACTATAATCTCTTCCACCAATTGCCATTTCTGAACTAAATACAAATTGTATTCTAACCTTACCACTGTGTCTAAGTGAGTGCATGCAGATCTTCTGCATTGTCAGTGGACATGCGCGGAATGTGCATGACAGATCAGAATGTTCTGTAACAATACATTGCTTCAAGTTTACCAACCCTGTTTCTTCATTTGCAAACACAGTGTACTGATAAAATGTCATGTCATATGCTTGAATAAAAGGAGGGACTTGAGTGATACTGAAGAAGGAAAAATACATACTTTGCAACTTCCTCATCTTCTGCTTCCAGTTCCTGCAAAACAGCATTTCCTGATGAAATTCTGATACTGGTCCCATTGTCCGTCTGCAAGATAAAGAGAACATACAGGTTATAGGTTATAAACAAGAAAACAAATGAATATATAATACATGCAGTATCAGTAAACCAGCTGTACAATAAAAATCATCAACATTTCTCTCTCTCTCTACGGGATCTTGAATACATTTTTGTCACAGCTGGATACATAGCAAGCAAATAATACAAATTACAGGAGCCACATGTGACCAGAGGGTATGATCCAAGAACGCACTCTCACTCAGGTAATCACCACTGTCAACCTATCGTCAGCACTAAAATAGAAAAATATCAGCAGGAGCTCAAACCATTTACAGTGCTCTCTTACAGGGTTATTCATTATAGTGAAAAATCGAAAGGAAATTTAAATTTACAGGCACAATAGCCGAAATGGAACAAAAAGTCAGCTATGCTGCTTTCAGTTCAGCAACTGCGGCCTTCAATTTTAAATTCTCACTTTACCAAATAACCCTGTCAATATATCTAGATTACATATTTAACAGATATGGGAATCTTTAACAAAGGATTTCTACGGTTGGTGAATGGGGAAGGAGGATATTAGTGTTTTTTTTGTTTTGTTTTGTTTTTTTACAACGGCGCCAAAGAATGCTATGGCGCTTTATAAATAAAGTTTTAATATTAAATCAGAGTGTAATCGCCCCAAAAAGAGAGTAACCCATGAATGTAACTGAAGACACAAACAAAAAATCAAAATGTAAAAAATAAAATATATAAATTAAGCAACATTTATAGTACAGTAATACACACCCGGCCCTTCTTCTGGTAAATTGTTCTATGCAAAAAGCCTTCAAGGAATACTCCTAATGTGCTGTACTGGTTACAGTGCCAGGAGTACCCGGCTTGTAACTCCACCTCCGGTAGCGTCATTGGGGTGTCACCAGGCAGCCTTCTAATGCCAATTCTGTGCAACCTTTAGTTCTTGGCTGAGAGCAATCAGCCGATACTCTCAGTCAATGAATGGAAACGGCTGCTGCTTCCAGCTTCTGTAGATCTGCTAAAGGTTTGCCCCATTACCCAGATTACTTCTAGCATCATAACCACTACAGCAAGATGTAGAGGCCATGAAGATTAGAGCAACCGATTGAGCGATAGAGAGATATATATATATATTAAAAAAAAAAAAAAAAAAAGTGTCCTATAAAATAGAAAGAGCTGCGGCTTAAAAAAAAAAATACAAAAAAGTTTATTTCCCAGATAAAGTGGGGCATTGTTCAATAAGCCATTGGCTCTAGTGTGAGTTAATCACTGACTTTGTCCCCGCTTCTTTCTATTTTGACATAGGACCCTCTGTCTGCATCAATCAGGCAAAACCAGAATATACATGATGTCTCTGTGGAGAATACTGAGCAATCCATTTGCTGATGATGTCCTATTAAACACTGAACCATTAGTGTCCTTACCAAAGCTGCAGGTCGAGTTGCAGACTTACAGCCGTTACTCTTATTACCAATTAAACATTACTAAGATCCAGGCAATGGGGATTAGCATAGAACAGGGAGTAATGGACAGGCTATGTGCAACCTTCGACTTCAACTGGAGGTCGGTTTACCTGACCTTCCTGGGCATATGAATAAAAGTATTCTGCAGGGCTTTTCAAGAAACATTATGTGAGATTGGGTTGGGTGTTGCACATTTGCAGACCAGTTTGCAAGCATTTTCGATGGTATGGTGATGACCCACAATGGGTGTCTATTGAGTTGCAGTAGTCCATAAGACAAGGAATGCATTCTGTTTTAGACCCCACATAATTCGCAGGCCACCTTATTGGAATGCCTTCCAACAACGCTTGAATCTAGTTATCTGGAATAAGATGGGAGACAAGTTGAAGAGCAACAGACTATTATTTTTAGCAGCTCTGATAGGAGTAATGAAGTTCCTCATCCCTAGCAGTCCGTGAGAGAAGTTCGGCTTATCACACCTACAACTACATTTTAACAAGGGAGTACTCAAAATGTACCCTCAGCTATCTGGGCTTCCTACCACTATACGATTTTCATATCTACAACTGAGCTCACCCTACATAGGGAGTTCAAAGTGTCCAACATTGATTGCAGACAGGAACTAACAGTATTTAAAAAAAAAAAAAATAGCTTGGGCATATTACCTTGATGCAGGATCTTGTCCCAAGGTTACTTGTTGCTCAAAGTGGATAGGGAGCTGGAGGGTCTTTAATTTATTTTAGTTTAGGAAATGGATATCAAACTATGGCCACAAGCGGTTCTAGCAAGACTGGCTCTCTTTGGGGGTAACCTCTCAACCCAATGTGGGAGGTTTAAGAGAGCCATTGGCATTAGGTTCCACATCTGCTGGACATGTAATGAAACCCAACTGCTGTAATCATATGTGACGAACATAACAAAACTACCCACTGGCTTAGTGTTAACTTGTTTGGGATTCCTCAAGATATACTTAAAATCCACAGATGAATACTCTTTTTGCATATTAGTTTCTATTATCCTGTTAGCCAGGCGTTGGAGACAAACAAAGATACCGAATAAAACTGACCTTATTGACCAGGTTACATTGACATGAGATTATTAGTGTATGATGGCATCTCAAATGGGTAACCAGGCATCGCTGAGGAAGACTTGGAATTTATGTAGTGTATTTTACAAGATAATCCTCAAACCAAAATCTAAGATGACTACTTAATGGACTTTATATTCTTTATTGTGAATATTAAAACATCAAAAATAAAAACCCACAAGGGGAGCTCTATCAAGAGAAAAAATTGGCCCTATTCTAGGGTGCAGTGTTAAGTAAGGCGTAATCCATATGGAAACCAATATTTATTTTTACTTATTACTGGCATTTTTCAGTTTCATAAAATGTTGTTGTTTAGATACATAGTGAATAGATGGACTTTGTAACACACACTGCTGATTACTAATTTGCCGCGATCAAAAGAAAAACGGCAGATTCTATATCAACTAGCACCAAGAGAGACTGCATCCATTGATAAAGCCGCCGAAGCGGAGAAACGTTTCTGGAGGGGTCTGACTCCCATCACCATCAGCTCTACTTCAAAGAAGACTACTGTGATATTTTTCAGCACTACTATTTTGCTGACTCAGGACGCCGAGCATTTCAAATAAGGTCTGGACTTTTCATGGCTTGATTTGTGGTTTTTAATAGACAACTATTTGTGTGTATATATATATATATATATATTTTTTTTATTATTATTTTTTTTTTTTTAACAAACCACCTCTTTTACAGGTAGGATTGTCACAGATCTTGCAGTAACCACAGCCTTCTAGGGTATACAAAGTCCAGGACACATTCAGCTCGGTTTTCCTTTTTATTCAGTAAGAAAACAGGTGCTTTAAATAATAACAAAAACAAACAAAATCCCTTGCTCTTACTAGACAGTAATTGCTCTCTGCAATTGGGTGGCTTTCCCACTTACCAATTTTCCAAACAAAAGAAATGTCTTTGCAATAAACACAATCTCTCCTAGCTGTCTTTTTCTCCCTCCCCTGCAGCAGGCTGCCCTCTGCTTTTAAAGACCTGTCTACTAATTGACTGGCTACAGGTGAGTGCCAATTAACTAACTCGTAAGTCAGATCCAAATAGTGGTCTGTTACACAGCAACTAATGCTGTTGGAGCATTGACCCACCCTGCTCTCCAAATACTCCGCCCCAGGGACCCATACCATGTTTTGCAGAACCTTAGCAATGTAGATTGCAAACTATAACATCTCTCCCTGGGGCATTTAACTGAAAATTCTCAGGTTGCTGTTTAACAAATCAGGCCTGATGTATCTTCCATCAAGCACAATTCCACTTTTACGCTCACAATATATTTATTTTAGATTTGATAAATAAAATGGATTTTTAATACTAATCTGCAGTGTGTTAGTTAGTAAGTTCATAGACTTTTGATCTATCAGAAGAGAAGGGTTTATTAATTAGTTTGTTCTATTTTGTATAGGTTGTTAGGTTCCCTATTTTTGCACCCTATTCTCATTGGTTTTCATTTTAAATCAGCGCTCCACTACCTATACTTTTTCTATATTACTGGCATTTATTAAGCACCAACATATTAGGCATCTCTCTCAACATTTAACACTTAGCCCAGCAGAGTAATAAAGTAAATATGTCAGCTGTAGCAGCAGTTAATAAAAAAAATAAAATACAAATTCAAGCTGTCAAATTGCACACAGCATAAACATTGTGGTTTCAAACGGGTATGTAAATGGTAGTTAGATTGTTAAAATTTTTAACATAAAATTTTTTTTCCCCCATGGTTCCTCCAGCTAGTAATTTCACAGTAGCTACATCTCTATTATACAACTGCCCTCTTAGAGCTAAATCAGCGCTGAAAACATTGAAAGGAAAGAAAAAAAAGCATACAGTTACACCCACCTCTATGGTCTGGCCTCTGCTTAGCTGCAAATGTGTCATTCGGAGGTTTAAAGAATGGCTCCGTGTAACAGTAGCTCCAGATGGAGATTTAGCATTAATTTTCCTGTCAAACTGATCAGGTTTTACAGGTTTCTCTTCCAGAAGTACTGCATCCCACGGATCTTCTGACCCAGGCTCACAAAACGATACTACAGTCTCTGATGCGGGACTTGACAATTCCATACTGTCTACCTTGGGTTTGCTAAGAGGATCGAGATCCAACCAATCAAATTTACTAATATCATCTGGCTTTTCTGACCTCTGCATAGAACTTACATCAATCTCTGTTCGTGCCAAGTCACTGTCATGGCTGGACTTCCCATTCTTTAAAAATTCAGAAGTCTTCGCTACTTTGTCTAACAATTTGGCCATGTCTGGGCTGACCATGTTTGAGAAAGTTGGTAGGCTTCGAGTTAAATGGAACGAAGCTGTGCCTGTCGACATAGGGAAAGACACAAATGGCACTTGAGCAGGCAACCCAAGATAGACAGTCTCCTTACGTGGCACAACAGACACATTTGGATTGAACCCATTCTGGAAAGGATCAGAACATTTTGGAAATGGTATAGAGAAATTTGGTGGTAAAGTGCATGAAGCAGGTCCCTGGATGCTAGATCCCCAATGGCTCCTTTGAAAGGACGGCGGAAAGCAATACTGTGTGGATATGCAAGGGTTAAATAATTGTGTCTGAGTTACAGCTAGTGGCTTGGGTGGTTTGCTACACTCAAAATTTTCATCCAGCAGCAGCTTCTCCAGCTCTGCTGGAGTTAGTTTATCGAAGTCTGTACTTTGAAAGCTTCTTTCACTCCTCTTTTTGGCATCAGACTCTGGGAAGACCATAAGATCCGTATCCTGTTTGATGGAGACTGAAGACACTTTGAGGAAATCATTGTTCTGATTGCCGATTACATTTCTTTCTTTGCGCAGTTTGGCCAACGCTTCAGCTTCCATCTGCAGCGCCTCTTCCTTATCAACATCTTTTGTGCTTGTCGTAGGTGAAGATACTTTTTGTCTGAGCCCATTACTACTTGACACCTGGGCCATACTGGGCGCCAAGGGACCATCTAAAACGTTTTGGCAGAAGTTCACCAATTTTCACATTGAACAGACTGAAACAATCTGTGGAAACAAATTACAAAAATATTATTTTCTACGATAAATAGGACTGCCAAATTATTCCAACATTCTATAGTAGTCTACAATGAATAAAATGCTAATAAAACCTTTTCAATGGTTTCTTTAAATCATAAAACTGACTGGGTAACTACCAGTATGAATCTGGATTATACAAGAAGTTAGTGTTACTGCCCAGAGCCAGCAGAGGGCAGTAAAAACTTAATTCAACGGTCTCAATCCTAAAAAAAACAAAAACAAAAAACAAACACCTCTGTGACCAATGGATTCTGTGCATTTGTGACCAATGTAGCACTTTTGCTATGCGTTCTGACATAAACTAACACATTCTCTAAGTGCACTCATATGTTTTATAACTTTTTAAAAAACCCATAAAAAACACTTAAACTTGCTGAAATGCTTAATGTGTGAAGAGTGTGTGCTCTTATTTATTCCATTTTACAAAAAGTGCAGTTGGTTAGCTCAGTGGAGACAAATTCAAGAGGCAACATTTGCCCAAAGCACCTGCCTTGCAACAACTTCTCATTGAGCTGCATTGGGAAGTATTTGCTTCTACAGTCCCTGAAAGCCAGTCACAGAGGCATTGGAAAGGGGGTTGAGGGGTTGGCAGTCACTGGACACTGGCCTGAGGTGGCACCCTGCCAGTGTCAGATAATCAAAACAGTGGAACAGTACATATCAGGAGGATGCCCACTAGTCCAGTGTCGCCCATACACCAGTCTAATGACAAAAAATTAAATACTCTAGCACTTCAATGCTTCCTTGACCCTTCATTAATAAAAGCCTGCACAAGATTAACGATCAGAGCTTAAAATATGCTAACATTCTGCTTCACTACAGGGTGCTATACACATGGACGCAAACTCTTGAGACCGCATATCAGCTTATTGGGCGCTTTTGCTATGGCCAGTATGCTGGCATCAGAGACAGTCTGTCCGGCAGAATCAAAAAGAAATACTGCAGCACTTCTTAAGTGCTTCACAGCAGATATAGGGCAACATTTTACCTATATTTCAGTCTTCCGCAAGCTTGATGGTTAAACAGTTTCTCTATAGCTCATTATCTGGATAAACCACACTTTTTCCTTGCAAAGATGGTGACATTCCCAAGTGAGAGGTCGGCGAATAAGTTTGAGATTTACATTTAAATTAATTACCTTTTTCCTCTCCCTCCTAACCGGAAACAACTGTGTCAGACTCATCTATTTCTTCCAAGTGTGGTGTACAATAAGGTCATATTTGTATGTTCTAAATGCCATCAGGATCTAAATTACAGAAATGTGCATCGTTGCAAACCAGGAAAACCCACCCCCACCATTTCTGCTTTGAAAACAAGAACAGGAGTTGAGAGTGGTTAAATAATTGCACAATAACAGAAGTACTGATTAATCAATTAAATAAGCTGTGTGACACCCTGTGACCACAAAGAGGTGCACCATGTAAGAGATTCACATTCTCTTGCCGCTAAATAAATATAAAGTAATGCACGGGCAATAAATTCTTTATTTTGGAAGATTATGTTGTTTGGGGTGGGGGTACAGAAATGAAAACTTGGGGGTACATTTTTATTACACGTTTTGCAGAGCGGACATGTTCTAACATTGCATTTTACCAGGCTTGATCGTTTTGCATGGTTGTCAACATTGTCTTGGGGATAGGGTGGGGTACAGAAAAAAGAAAGGGTGGGGGGATAGGGTACATTCACATACATTTTCCCTTGTGTCTTCATTTTAGTTCTGATTCTTTTTGGTTGGAGCAGCCGATTGGGTTTGAGTGTGTGTTGGCCTATGTGAGCCTTTTGCGTATTAATGTGTCCATGTTGGTGTGTGTTATGCGACATTGGTCGTGTAGTGCTTAGGTTTTATGGCCCGTGGGTGGTGTCGTCCTGTCTGTTTTTGTTCTTGTGTGAGTGAGTGTTTCTTCCTTTAATACTATTAAAAGGTCATATTTTAATGTTTCCATTAATCTGGTCTCCTGCTGAGAGCATCACTCATGTTTCAGTGGGTGTTACACTGGAAGCACAGAATTCCTTCCATGACAAGCTGATAGTCCAACTTTATGTTTGCATTATAGCAGGGCATGACATTTGCTTTGAATCTAGTACCCAGCTTACACCAACAAAGATTTATTTTCAACAACACTGTAGTGAGCTTAATGTAGTGGTTCTGGTGTCTACAGCCTTTTCAATGAAAACACTGCCTTTCAATTTGCATTGCTGCCAAGTAACCAGGCTCTGACTGGCCATCAGAAAAACCGAGCAAAAACGCGATCGTTCTAGTCAGAGGACAACAGGGGAAGATCAAAAAAATACTGAAGCGCAAGCCTTGCTGTGTGTCTTCACAGGCCGGTGGGGAGCTCAAAGACCTGCATCACTGACCCAAAGACACTTCTCTATGGTGGGCCGGAAAGTGAGGGGAGAGGAGGAGCTGAGAGGGTGAATCTTCCTCCCTCGAGCTTGGCAATTCAGGGCGTTGCTGCGGGTTACCATGGCAACCCCCAAAGAGCTAGCGAGAGGAATGAAGGCTACAGTTAAATACCACAGGACCACCAGGGCCTGCAATGTCCTCCCACCCTGAGCAAAAAGGTAAGAAGAAGGGAGGAGTTTTGTTGGTTTCAAAAATAAAATAAAACTAAATATGCATTTTGGCTGCCAACCTTCCCACACAATATATAGTCCCTATAACATCCAACACAGTCACACACACTGCACCCTCTCCCCTGCCACACACACACAAACACTTCATCCCTAAAACAATGCAGTCCACACACACACACACACACACACACACACTGCCCCCCTCCAGAAACTACATTCCTTATACCCACACTAGAACCCCTGTATGCAAAAACAAACTGCACAGCCAATCAAAGGGGGGGGAAAGGTCATCCAAAGACACACACAATCACGGATTTGACACAAACTGACAGATACACACACACACTCCCTGACAGACAAACACATCGTCACACACCACCAATTATTATTGGCTCTAATTCAATCTTTGGGAAAGCTGGAGCGGATCTTTTCCCTGGGTCCAGTGCAGCTGCTGTGATCCGTAATCTTCAAGCTCCTCTTGTTCTGCTCCTCGCGGGCTGTTTAGTGATGCCAGGGAAGAAGTGACATCATATCCCAGCTCCTGGCATCACTGCAGGGTGCAAAAGGGAGCAGAGCAAGAAGGGCAGGAAGATTTGTTTTTGCTGCTACTGGGCATAAAAGGACACTTCAAGAACACCGCAGTGTTTTTGGTGCCAAGAGTTCCCTGGCGCACCCCCAACATAAGTACTCAAACTGTTTAAGATTTATTTTTTTCTTGGGGTCCACCAAGCAAGGCAGTCTCCAGGAAAGCTGGGAGCTACTGAAAGAAGTGTCTGTGTCAGTCCTAAGCCAAGTCCTGCAGTGCAGTCAGCTCATTGGCTAAATATTTGCCACTAGTTTTAACACAGAGAATCCAGCTCACCTGAACGCTGCAGAGGACCACGGACCACATATAAGAAGACAATGCGTTCGAAAAGAGTGACTACTTACACTGGGGACACAACGGCACCATAACCTCTACATACTCTAGTTGTCATGGTGCTTGGAGCAGTCCTTTAATAAAGTAATAATTTTAATAAAATAGTTATTTAGGATAAGCTGATAATGTAATTGTTCACTTCTAACATGCACATTCCATTTTACAAGAAGCAGTAACCTTTAGACAGAACCAAAACAAGACGCCCATAATGGAACAGAATTAGATATCACATCTGGCATATCTTTAACGAATGTGGTGTTTCACAGGACTACAGGGTATTTTCCATCAGCACGTAATCTAAACGCAGCCTGCAAACATGATGAAAGCCAACTTATTCCATGGAGGATCTCTAACATGCAACCATTTAAACAGACATGTTTCTCACCATCAATCGAAAAACAAATCATAAAGTCGTTCCATTTATTAAGGGGAAAAGAAAGGTACTTTTAAAGAGAGCTACAGGGACAGGCTCACTTATGTCAGGTACGAATTTATCCCTACGTGAAGCAGTTTTAGTAGCAGCTCTGACCCTTTCCGATTCAGGTTCCCTGGCTTGTTTAGCAACAGTAAATGAAGAAATCCTGCAAATAAGGATGGCAGAGCTACCTATTAAAGAAATATACACTTTTTCAGAAACCTCCTACATGTTCAGCTCATGAAATGTTCCTTGTAAGTTCTGCTATTTATCAGCATTTCCTTTTAATGAAGAAAACAGCATGACTGTTCTTTATGATGGTGCAAGCTTTATTGTTTATCATTCAGGCTTTTGTAGAGCATGGCACATCTAAGAAATGTGATAATCGTCTCGAAGAAGGTCTCCTTTACTTTGTCTTATGGTCTGTACAATTTGTGTCAGGGGCAATTTCAACAACGTGTGCTGCATGGTGCCAATACACAGTGTGTTAAAAAACAAAACAAAAAAAAACACACAAAAAAAACATCCCGCCTGTACATCTATGTTTTTAACTTTGGGTTAATAATAAAACTAGTGCATAAAGAAAACTGGGACTTGGCCTATGAGTGGAGTACAATGTGCCATGGAATTAAAGACATAGCGGAATCTGCTAGAAGCTTACCCTAGCTCTTGAGTGTTTTTTTTTAACCGACATAGTAACAAAGAAGTGCTAGGGCATTACCGACATACTTATATAGTGTGGAAGGCTGTGCCAGTGCGTGACAAATATAGCGACAGGAGTGCCAGCCCGTTACCGAGATAGCGACAGAGCACTGCCAGCCCGTTACCAAGATAGCGACAGAACACTGCTAGCCCGTTACCGAGATAGCAACAGAGCACTGCCAGCCCGTTACCGAGATAGCGACAGAGCATTGCCAGCCCGTTACCGAGATAGCGACAGAGCACTACTAGCCCGTTACCGAGATAGCGACAGAGCACTGCAAGCCCGTTACCAATATAGCGACAGAGCACTGCCAGCATGTTACAGATACAGTGACAGAGCACTGCCAGCACGTTACCGATACAGTGACAGAGCACTGCCAGCACGTTACCGATACAGTGACACCAGTGGCAGTGTGTTACAGAGGAGTGCCAGCTCGTTAGTAAAGCAGTGAGAGAAGTGCCATTCGCGTTACCGATATAGTGACAGAGGAGATGATTTTTGCCTCCTTTATACTGTACTGCATACTTGGAGTTTTATCAGAATTAAATAAGGAAAAAAGTAAAAACAGTGTAATGTGCTATCCAATTGGTCTGCAATCAAAGGTTACACAAAAGGCATGAGAACTGTAATATGGATTTAGCAAACTTCACTTTAGGGAGGTGATCAATAATGATATATACTAAGTGTCAAGAACGCACCCTACTTCAAGAGTGTGCGTGACGTAGTTGTGGTTGTGAAAGGGTTAAAGTTCACTATTTGACACCACCCGTACTTAAGCATAATATAAATATTACTCTTAACGCTGCCACCACCAAGACAATTTATAAATGGGGTGCCTTGGTCCCCCAGGTAAATCAATAAAAACACACCACACACCAAATACAACTTGGCACAATATTTAAGGAATTGCAAATATACTATTTAGTCTCTTCAGGTTACGTGATTCTTTACCAGAGGCAGAACTTAATAAAATAATATTTATTATGAGAATAAAATTTTCACAGTGCATACAAAAAAAATAGATGACAATCAAAATTATTTACACCAACAACAGATAAAAACAAAAGGGATGAAATAACAGAAGTCCTAATTACTTAATTTTTCACAGTAACACTTCTGCTCCAGGGGGTCTCTGGTAAGAAAGATGGTGACTCACTTAGAATCAGATTCTGGCCCCTCAAGCAAGTACAATGCACCCTTCAGTATCATTAGATATATACCCTGTAGATGCCTGGTCTAGAGGTGGAGTTAAGGAGTATCTATAGAGACCATAAGTGACCAACCCCTTGTGTACCAGACTAACATCAATTCAAATGGAAACATTTAGTTCCATCTTCTCTTATGTGCTTGCCACAGAAATAATAATTGCATCTACAAATTTGTTATTTTTCCATTCCATAGATATGTCACACCCCTTACTTGTGACCCAATATAGTGGACATTACAATCCCTTCCCCTATGGTCAAGTTATGCCAATCATCTTTGGGCTTGTTTAGAAGATGGTGCATGTCACATTCCAAATAGAACAGAAAGACTTAATTATTATTCTGTGGGTAAATATTTTTTCCCCCTTTTTGGATATGATACTGGAACAAGGCTAAGGGCCATTAACATTTCAAAGGACCCACTATCTAAGAGGGAACCTAGACATACCTGTGATTAGACAGTTTATATGTAAAACAGACTTCCAGGCCACATATGTGTGACTTCTCACACCTCACAGAGCTTTTCATTATTCAAAGGAACAAGGCATATGATAAACCATCTGTTCCCTTTCACATTCCTATGCAATTCACACTACTCCTTCTGTCACCTGATATTTACCAAGTGGTCAATTCATATATGCACTACACAAATTACATTAAAGGACCATTATACACATTAAAGGACCACTATAGGCAGCTCTGGTTTTAACCTTTCAGAGAAACTGCTATGTTTACACTAGGGTTAATCCAGCCTCTAGTGGCGGTCTCATTGACAGCCACTTGAGGCAGTTCCGTGCTTCTCACTGTGAAAATCACAATGAGAAGACGCGGATGTCCATAGGAAAGCATTGAGAAATTCTTTCCTATGGACTGTCAATGCGCAATTCAGCGCTGACGTCAGGATGAGGAGGGAGCCCGGCGCTGGAGAAAGGTAGGTGTTTAACTTAGAATAAATATTTGTGAAAATTCCAGATTTTTTTTTTTTTTTTTTTATGAAAAAGCACTAGCAACATCACTGCATCAGATGCACTACAATAAGTTGGTACAATGTTTTCAGTATCCCTTTAAACTTCTAGCGCATGGATCTTACTTGTAGTTTACATTTTTTATTTGCAGTCCATTATTGATTGGTTACATTGCTTGACTTTTAATATAGTTAATTTTAAGGGGACTGTTTGCCTTTAACAAGACACTGCATAATACCTTCTCAGAATAACGTGTTTGTTTTAGTTCCCAAACTATCAATAGCAGGAAGAGACGAGGAAAGAGCCAGATTCCTGTTTGCTAGAATCACACCATGGTTTAATTACAACTGGCAAGTTATAGGAACGCTTGCTATCTTAGCCCATAGTTGGTTTAGTGTTTGGTGAATTCCCAGTGATAAGTATTGCTACGGCCCTTACTAGGGGAAGGGCTTTGAAAACCAGTTAGTATGTTCCTACCTTGATACAGCTACAGGCCAATCTGGTTATACAAGTCATGCATTCAACTTATTCAAAAAATAAGTTTATTATTTTCCCAAACTGAGACAAGACATTTACCCTATCTGGTCCTGTGATACTGTAGAGGCGGCTTGGTATTTGTAACGTTATCTTATGAACAATTGCTTATTTATTAGTTACACATTTAGCTCCATTAAAAAGTGCACTGGAGACTGAAGTCTGTGATATTCAATAAATATTCTATAAATTTAACTGAAGCCGATTCATTCGTGAACGAATCTTTAAAACATGTTAGTATCATTATATATGCAACTGAGGTACTTATTGTGTTACATTTATAAGACAACACTCCATTATCTGGATAAGTGCCAAAACGTAGACACAAATAAGTCAGGCGTTGGTATTTACTTTTATATATTGTGCATTAATACAAGTTTATTTATTACTAATTCCCCAAAGGGATATGGGATTTATATCGCCTCACACCTGGAACATGCGGCTCCAGGCAGGAAGGATTTAAAAAAAAAAAATTATTTAGCCCTGCCACTAGCAAGGGGCAAGAATGCCTTTGGTGTAATCAGTGCAGGAGCAGTGAATGCGAGACCAGAGTACTCACTTCCTCACCGTCTGGATGAGAGTGCAGCTGCTGTGATTCCCCGCATGCCTACTATATCAGGTATTTCCCTACAGCTCCTTTTAGACAAAACATTACGTACAAACAAAAAAATTTTCACACCAATCTCAACACTGGAGGAAAAGATACACGATTAATTTTAAACTTAAGATCACACACACACACACACACACACACACACACACACACACACACACTATGCACAAATTACACACAGTCAGCAGTCACCATGCATATATTGCACACAGTCAGCACACGCCACATGCAAATATTATATACAGCTAGTTCACACCACACATACAGGCAGCGCACACCGACAGCAAACACAACACAAACAGTCACAAAACACACACTAGAACAGGCCTGTCCAAAGTCCGGCCTGCGTTCCAGTTTAATACGGCCACACAGGTAGTTTGGCTAATCTATCTGTTGTGGCCCCCACTTAATCCCCGAGATCTCTGGATCTTTAAACGCTGCGGTCCTGAGCAGTGCTCAGGGATTTATGGGGGGCCCAAGATATCGCGAGAATGCAGACGGGCGTGCCGTGACCTCAGTCTGCGTTCTCGCGATCTCTTGGACTTCGTGGGATCTCGTGGACGTCATGAGATTCATGGGATTTGGCTCCTTCTCCCTGCAGAGAATCGACAGAATAAAAAAAAAAGGTACAGAATACAGAGGGGCAGAATAAAAAGAGATCTCAGAATAAAGAGATGAAATTAAAAAGTATGCCGTTTGCAATAAACTTTGCATAAAACAGTTAATTTGCATTAAATTTTAATAGTTCAAAGAATGTCAGGCAAAATGGTTGGCCCTGACGCATGTTCACTTAATCAAATATAGCCCTCATGCATGTTCACTTAATCAAATATGGCCCTCTTTGAAAAAAGTTTGGACACCCCTGCCCTAGAACAAAGAGACTACGGGATGAGACGCAGTGTAATTCACAAAATGCAGACTTTTTTAAAACACACACAACTAAAAGAAAGGTGGAGCATATATCAACAACAACGGGTTAAGGGGTAACCCCTAAATTATGAAATAACTAAAAGAAAAAGTTTTGGTAGGAAGAGAGTTAATTATATGTGCATTTAGAGGTATGATAAGGGAAAAGATCAACATGCCCAAAATAGACAAAAGCTTCACTTTTATAATTAATTTAAAAATGACAACTACAGAAAGAAAAAAAATAGACTCAGTAGGGCCATACACCAAAATGAAATACACGATCAAATGCAACAAAGGTAAGATAGAATATTGCTAAATTTGTATAGACTATCAGATGCTACAAGTATAAAATCTGAAGGCAATAAATCGCACTTGTTACAAAGTAAACTGCTGCAAAAAAGTACCAAAACAAAAAATACCGTATTTACTTGAATCTAAGGTGCACCTCAATTTTTGAAAACTGGCAGCTGAAAAATGTTTTTGCTGGCGAATGTAATGCGCATTTATTTAAGAAAATACTTTTATACAACATGGTGCAATACTGAAAAGGTTTATTGCTATATACCACAGTAACATTGATGGTATTTCAATTTTAGTGTTACATGTTAAGTATTTTTAATTTTTTTTAAATTAACCTCTCTTTCAGGAACGAAATTTGCCTGTGTGAATTCGCCAGAATGAAATTTGCGTGTTTGAATTCAGCAGTTTTAATTCGCTGGAAAATGTTGAATTTTGCCAGAATGTAAATTTTGGAAACTTTATTTTACACAAAAAAAACCCAAACGTATTAGATACCAGTAAATACGGTATATACCAAAAGTAGCTAAAAATATGGTAGTAACATACACAAAGGTACAGAATGGAGCCCATAGTCTGACCTACTGGCAAAACTAATAAAGTTAAATAGACTAGATAGAAGGAAAATATATTAACCAGCAGAAAATAAAAATAAAAATACACGTTTAGCAGGAACGAACGTACCTAAAACTACTTAATTGTGCCTTCGAGGGCACTCAAAGTAAAAGACTACCCACCAAATCAATACCGGCAATAATCCTTGTGTCTGAGGAAGGAAATGTTAAAGTGCCAGGAAAACATAGCCGTTAAAACCCCTTCAATGAATTTCCAGAGTCCAGCGCCGATGTCCCTCGGCGCTGTTTCAGCCGGTGGGGGTGAACTAATGCGCATGCGCGGCAATGGCCGTGCACGCACATTAGACCCCCATAGGCAAGCATTATTCAATGCTTGCCTATGGGGATTCCGGCGACGCTGGAGGTCCTCATGCATAGCGTCCAGCATCGTTTAAAACACTTTTCGTGTTCTAAGAACATGAAAATGAACATCTAAAAACACATCTAAGAACACTTTTCGTGTTCTAAGACAACCACTAGAGGAGGACTTAACCCTGCAAGGAAATTATTGCAGTTTATAAAAACTGCAATAATTACACTTGCAGGGTTAAGGGTGGTGGGAGCTGGCACCCAGACCACTCCAATGGGCAGAAGTGGTCCTGGTGCCTGGAGTGCCCTTTAAACTAAACTAGGTAACAACCAAATTGGAAAAGGCATAAAACCCCAAATCAAAAATAAATAATATCACTGGTGACAACCAAACTGTGTGAGGAAAGTCAATGAAGCCCCTAATGATTTTTTGGAAAACTAAATACAAATGCCAAAAACAAGGCAAAAAAGTCATGTTAATTTATAGCGGATTTAGAGAATTTTTCCAGATCAGCTATTTTTGTCTGTTTTCTCGTTCATATTTGCAGCAATCACGGATGCATGTAGTGTCTAAATTTAAACCAGTACTTTGCCATCTGAATCCTATTAATATTAGGGCCACCGTTTGTCTAAGTGGTACCATGCCATAGCAAATGTACAATCCTAGAACCTGAATAACAAAGATATGAATGGATTACTGCCAGATGCGTCAAAAGAGACTTTTCCAACATATCGACCAATTAGATTTTATGCTCACTTCCTTTTCTGTTCAGAGAAGTGTGCACAGACCTAGCTAATCAGTCCCTGAATGCGCTACATTCCCCCTGGCTGAAGGCCAGGAAAAATCTAGGCTATTTGTAAGCTAGATATTTGAATAAAATGCACAGGGCGTGATGTTCTGTTACAAGCCATAATGTACATTCTAATGCTTTAAGGGAAAAACAAACAAATCAGGCCTGCAGATGGTTAACTCTTGTTTACAAGGGGTTAATGAGATGGCAGCCATGGCAGTACTTAATTGTTACCATGTGAATTTCTGAACCGTTGCCCAGGGCAGACAAGGGCAGCTTCAATACAGAACTCCAAAGCAGTTTCCTTCCAATAAAAACCAAGGACAACAGAATCTTTGTCTTCATCGTCATCTGTAACCAAGAAACCCCTTTAGAGATGCAGGTGACCATCAGGTCTAAAACAATTGTTCTCACTTTGATGAATAGAGAGTAACCTTTAAACTATCTGGCCAGACGCTTCCCAGAAACATTCCATCTAAAAGGCATGAAGATCTTGGCAGAAGGAGGTATTTGCAGATTTCCTATTCCAGAAGATTAGATGAACACTAAATGCTCAGGGGCTGCTTGGCCAGGAAGCTAGAATCACTGTACACTAAATAAGTTTCCACACTTGCAATATGCAGCACTCAACAAAAGTTGTGTTAAAGATTAATAGCATTCTGCTGTGTGTGCAATTCTGCAGTGTCAGCAGGAACCAAAGATCTCCCTGTTCAGACAAATCAACTTGAGTGTCCGGAGTCCCATCTTTGAGAAAAGCCAGTATTTATATGATAAAACATCATCTACACATTGTGCTAGTCACACATTTCAATTCTCTTTTACTCTTAAAAGGGTCAATAACAATTACTATTTTAAATTCTTAACACCCTTCATTACCAAGGAGGTTTGCAAACGACTCCCCCCTTCCAAATCCTTATAATTTCGGTGTTGTGTAAAGAAATGTCTAAATGCATTTTTAGTTTCAGTATGTATAGACAGCATGGAAATATAAAAACATTTTGGTTAGACAGAAAGACTTGGAAAAAAAAAAAAATTGCTGAAAAACCTAATGCTGGCCGCGATAGACTGTTGTCAGAACAAACATTGTATCACAGTTTGCTGCATAGCCGTAGATCAGTCAGTGCCAATGACCACCGCCCCAAGTGCCTTCAATGGGGACGCTAGCACCAGAACTGGACGATTGAGCAATGGAAAAAGGTTGCCTGGTCTGACGAATCACGTTTTCTTTTAGATCAGGTTGATGGCTGGGTGCGTATGCATGTTTACCTATGGAAGCAGAATGCACTATGGGAAGAAGGAAGGCCGGCAGGGGAAGTGTTATGCTCTCAGCAATGTTCTTCTGGGAAACCTTGGGTCTCGACATTCATGTGGATGTTACATGCGGTTCTGCAAAGATTGCAGGACCAACGTTTGAACTGTCCCTGCTCTGCATGGAGACAAACACTGTCCACAGAAATGCACTCTTTATGAGAAGATACTGATGGGAACAGTAATTTCTGAACTTGCGCACTAGTTTCAATGCTTCTGACGTGTGTTAAGGTAAGTAAAATACTTTATCAAATTTAATTAAGGTGGACTCGTTTTTCGAAATTCCTAAAAAGTTAGTGTTCCTTAAAAAGGGGACAGTCATCGTCTGGACTTTTGCAGATTTTGCAAAGACCCCCAACGGTGACAATGCTGTTGGGGCTAAGGTGGCAGGCAAAAGGGAGTTCTTCTTACATAACCTGTCACACACATGTGGTGCCATTATCTTCTGGTGGATCCCCTTCAGTGCCAGGAGCAGATGTCACTGCTGTACTCTCACGCATTTGCAAGAGTACAGTATTCAAGTCTTTGGAGGATCCGCGAGACACTCCATAGATAAAGCAAATACCAGGCAGCCGTCATTGATGACAGCTGGGGGGGGGGATTGACACTTCAAGTAAAATTCCAACACAATTAGTATGAGTATTTCATAAGATTCTATAAAATACTCTTTTTCTGTTACTTCGGTACCACTTCTAGGTATTGTTGCCTTCATCTTTTTTCTTTTTACACTGCTTTTCCCAAACTGGTGCAATACTGTTGAGCTAGACAAAAAGAATTGTATTGCTGGACATGAATATAAAGATTCTGCAGGTATTTAAAGCATATTTTGCAAATATTACCGATGGTTATTTTGTTTCTTGCAGTGCAGTGGCCCGGGGGTACAGGGAAAGTTTTACTTACCTGATGCTGCGGCTATGATCACCCTGTGGATAGTCTTCAGCTCCTGGCGTTTCATCTGCCAGGAGCCTACCTCAGTACTGTACTTGCGCATGCCAAGTCTACAGAGAATCTAGACAATGTCTGCATAGTTCTCACAATTATTACTAGTCCCTACTTTGTCCTAATGAAATTCCAACAGTCCCTACTGTGTCCTAATGAAATTAGAATTCCAGTCAATGGGAAAATGTCATAAAGATTTTCTCTTTATAAATACTCTCTTTTTGTAACTTTCCTACTTCTGTACCACTACTGGATATTGCTGCCTTCATCTTTCCCTGACGAATAATACCTTTTTTGTTTTGTAATGGATTACACAAACACTCCTTAAGAAAGAGTCCCTTAAAGAGAGGCTTCACCCACGTCTCCCTCCAAGACAACACATATCGCACAACAGCAGAGGCCAGAACCTGCCGCAAACAAAACGGAGTGTCCATCCTAGTGCACAAAAGATGCCCGATCCACCTAACTCTGGTGACACCTGACCCTGAAGGTAGATACATATTAGCATCGGGCCGTATGTACTCACAATCCATACATCTCATCAACGTATATGCCCCCAACGCCCCTACACCACAATTCTGTAACCACATATCTGACATGGTCTTCTCACTACCCACTGGAATAGTACTGCTACTTGACGACTTAAACGCCACCCCATCCCCAGCAGCCGACAGGAGCACACGCCCGGAGCTGACTAGATCCCACGGCATGGGCGGACAAGACAAATTACTGCACCACTTTATCCGTAAGACAGGACTCAGACGCATGGAGGGCACAACACCCCGGTCACAAAGACTATACCTACTACTCACCCCGTCCCACAACACACTCATGTATAGACCTCTTCCTGACCAACCACACCGGCTTTGCAAAAACGCTAAAAACAGAAATAGGCACCATCGCATGGTCCGATCATGTAGACATCGCAATCTACCTTAGCGGTCTCCACAGCCCCACTCCGTGGACGTGGAGACTTAACACATCTCTCCTCAAAGACCCACAAGTAGTAGAAGATATCCAACAGCAAATAACCACATACTTCTCGTAAAATCTAACGCCAGATGTACCCATGACAACGGTGTGGGCGGCCCACAAAGCCGTGATCCGCAGCTCCCTCATCAAAATAGCAACACACAAAAAGAAACAAAAAAACCCTAAAACTAACCCAGCTCCTCGAAAACTCTCCGCTCGGCGGAACAATGCCACAAAACAAATCCAACTCCCCAAGCTCTGCAACAGCTCCAAGACGCTTGCATCTCCATCAGACAACTACTCATAGACGACACAGCCCGAGCCATGACATTGTCCAAAAGGACATAGTACGACAAGTCCAACAAAATGGACACCTTGCTGGCACGCACACTACGCCCCAATACCCTCACATCACAGCAATAAAAGCACCAGACAGCACGCTGAAAACTTCCCCAGCCGACATAGCCCAAATCTTCACGACCTACTATAACTCACTCTACAACCACTCCCCCATAGACGGCACACCAGACACAGACGCACACCAGAACATATCCAAATTTGTAATCCACCTAAACCTACCCAAACTACAAACCGTGGCCATAGCAGAACTATCCGCACCCATAACTAAAGACGAAATCAACTCGGCCATATTAACCCTCAAAAGCAATAAAGCCCCAGGCCCGGACGGCTTCGAGGGAGGCTACTACAAAACCTTCCGAGAAGAATTACTCCCACACCTCGAAACCCTATTCCAAGACATGATGACAGGAACCCCCCCAAATAGAGACATGACACAAGCAAACATAATACTGCTTCCCAAGCCGGGCAAAGACCACACCCACCCAGAAGCATAACGACCCATTTCCTTAATAAACCATGACTGCAAGATATTCGCCAAGATCCTGGCAGGGAGACTAAATCCATTCCTGACGCACCTAATTCACGCAGACCAGGTGGGATTTATCCCAGGCAGACAACTATTCGAGAACACACGCCGAAACATCGTCATAATCTGGACACTGTCGACAGCCAAAACGCCATCCCTAATCCTCTCCCTTGATGCAGAAAAAGCTTTCGACAGTGTAAACTGGCCCTACATGTTCACACTACCAGAGCATCTAAACTTTCCCCTACCTTGTATCACAGCAGTACGAGCACTATACACGAACGTATCGGCACAAATAAAAATATCCGGGGAAAATTGCCCACTGTTCAACATAGCAACGGCGCCCGTCAGGGATGCCCACTATCCCCACTACTTTTTGTGCTGACTCTGGAACCACTGCAACAGGCCATCAGGGAACACCCCCAGATCTCAGGGGCCAAAATAGAGGACCACAAGTTCCTGACCTCACGATACGCAGACAATGTGCTGCTCACCCTGACAAACCCCATTCCATCCATGCACGCTCTACTCCCACTCCTCCGATCCTACAGCACTATCTCGGGCTACAAAGTCAACATGGATAAATCCAGCACACTCTCCACGAATCTCACACAGGCAGATATATCCCAAATCATCTCAGACCATCACATACACATCTCACCCACAACCCTTACATACCTTGGTATTAAACTATCAGCGGATCCCACCACACTCCACAGACTAAATTACAAACCCACGATTACAAACTAAATTTTTGTTTTACAAACCCACTCATCTCGGACATGGAGACCTGGGCGGACAAACCCATATCCTAGATAGTGAGAATACATTTCGGTCAAAATGAATATCCTACCCCGAATACTTTTCCTATTCCAGGCCCTACCCACTCCTATCACAAAACGAGACTTCGTACCACTACAACGGGCGATTGACCGATTTATTTGGCAAAATAAGAGACACAGAGTGTCCCGCAACATTCTCTACCGCCCCAGGACAAGAGGCGGCTTGGGTCTACTCCACCTACACTTTTATTATCTAGCGGCGCAAATAACGCAAATAGCACTTTGGCATACCCCTCCAGAAACTAGAAGATGGGCAATGACCTCTGCTGGAGAAACTGCAGAGAAAAAGGGACCTACACCC